AACTCTGTCCAATCCCCAACCAGTTTGTGTAACCTCTACTATCAATGCTTCTTTAACTTAAAATGACTCCAATAATCAATATGAACCTTTCGAATCCTCTATACTCTAGCTCTATTGTTCATTTAACCTACTATATGACACTCTAATAATCTGACATGAACGTTCTCCAATCCTCCGAACGATGCTACCTCTACTGTTTTTTATCCTCAAAATGACATCCCAATATCCTAACAAGAACCTTACAAATTCTATACCTTCCTGCGCAACCTCTACTATCATTGTTCCTTTAATCCCATAAATTACTCCATAAATCCCATAAACCTCATATGAACTTTTTCTATTCCTCTAACAGTACATGCTGCATATCAATATTCCTTTCATATCAAAATGACATTTCAATAAATTGAAATGGACTTTTCCAATCTCAAACCCCTACTACAAGTAAAAATGTTTATTTAACCTTAAAATGACATTCAAGTAACATTTTCCAACCCTAAAGTGGTCTATGTTACCTTAATTTTCAATGTTCCTTAAACCAAGAAGTGGCATTTCAATAACCTAACAGGCATCTCCAAGTAGTCTCTGTTCCACTTATTGCCAACGTTCCCTTTCTTCCCCAATCCTCGCGCGACCTGTAGCTTTATTCTTTACAACCCCCTCCTCTCCTGCCTTGAGAATTAAATTTTCTTGATTTATATATCAACGGTTGCCCGAATCTACTGCTATTCTTTGCAAGTACATTGTATAAAGTTGAAGTCGGTATTGAGGTATATGCAAATTCATATAACGTGGTTATGTATGTACAACTAATATATGGATGTAAGTAGAGATTTCTGCTTCATACTTCATGCAGACACATTGAAAAGTAGATCGAAAAGATTTAAATATAGGCGTAGACCTCGAAATGCAGCTAAAGTTTTTTGTATAATAACAGTGAAATAAAGGACGGCGTGTATGATAAAACGCATGGTTGGGTTTTTATAATACTCTTATTTCAATACAAGATCTTCAAATATTCTTAGGGCGGTTTTCAAGCAGTTGATCCTTTTCCTAACCTGAGCTTTCACTCCACCCTCTTTTTACTGCTTGATAGAAGGAAAATTTTTTTTCAATTTTATTATGAATTAACTTGTTAAATTAAATAGCATTATCTAACTACGCCTTCAGATTAAAAACAATATAGCATATTCAATCATCAATGAGTTTTAATTAAGACATATTACTTTAAAATGTACATATTTCATTAGTTGCATTATGTTTACTTTGGATCGGTGAAAATAACCTTTAGCTATATAAATGATGAATGATGAATGATGAAATTGTGGTGTTTTGAAATTTTTTATCCGATTGAGTTTAGTTTATGTGGATGTAATGCACTATATTTCTATACTTAGCTTTATTTTGACGCCCTTTCATTTCTTTCATTATCATGGTATTATCATGACTATATTTTACATTTTTGTTTAGCCTGGATCGTGGAAGATAATCCAAAATTATATAATACAAACATACATACATGTAATATTAGGTATATAAAAGAGTTTTTTTTTTATCAAAAAATCAAGTAAACACTTTTGTATATACCTAATATTACATGTATAATATTTTGATCTTATGTTATAAATAAAACATTATTTACTACATCATGATGACGACCGTAAAATTTCTTAAAAGGTAGTTATGAGTTTGGATGGTAAATATCCCTCTACCCGCAGCTTTGATGTCAAATTACAAGAAATTAGCGTAGTAAAAATATAGGCATTGAATGTTGTAGGTTTAATTGATCCAAACTCAAAATCGACCTCTTTGTAGTAAAAGATGTTAAATATAATTTTAAACTAATTTTATTCGTAAGATTATATTGTGAGCATCGTTGCGCCTTATGAAATTATTTCTCACAAATACTGTATATATAGTGAGTAAATAGAAAATTGAACCAAGTTACTTTTATAATACATTTGTGACCCCAACTCTGTCAAAACCACCTTTCACATAGAGACGATTTCTAACACGGTTGGTCTATTTTCTTTGTAACACCAAATAATATAATAATATACTTTAAACCACATTCCGATTGTAATTAGGAAGTAAATAAAGCTAAACTAATAATTATTCATTGATACGCTACAAAGAAGGTCAAGAGGGAAATTTGTCAGTCTAAAGAGAAAACCAAATAAAAAACTCAATATGAACAAAATACAAAAGTACAATAAGCATTTGAATAGTAAGAAAATGTTAGATTTGTATATAAGAATCTTTTAGAAAATGTAAACATTTTCAGCATATAATTGGAATAAAGAAGAAGCAAACACAAACTGAGGATAAGGATAAGTAGAAAATAGATATATAGATATTTGTTTTTCCTATCGGGATGGGATCCATTCGGGGTGCGGGCCCATGCACTTGGATCAACAAGTCCCCCGTGGTGGTTCTGTCACTGGAGATAATTTTCGACAGTAGTAGCAGAAAAAGTTTGGTTCATCTGAGATAAAGAAAAACTTAACAAAGTCTTCAGACCTTTATATATGTAAATTTTTATTTGTAAACCATCATTTACCCTGCTCATATATTCAATCAAGTTATGTTGGATAGATAAAAGAAACCTTTATCATTAATATTTGCTTTCAAAATATCTAATAATAAATCTACAATTCTATTCATCTACACCCTACTCTTATACATCTTGCAAAGTAATTTTTTTTTAATGAATTGAGACAAAATTATACAAGAATATTCACACTAAATTTTTGGTTACTGCTTTACTTGTACTAATTAAATCGCATTCCAGTTACTCTCTGAGTCAACTGATTTATGGGTTTTAGTTTATTTTTTTCATATTACTTAAATCATTTTAGGCCTATTATTTTAGTTTTTTACAGAATTAAAATTGTGGTAATTTTTATATTTCTCTTTGCACCCGGTAAAGTAAATTGTATTCTTTATTACTATTGTTGATAATTGTGTAAAATATGTATGTTCCCTTCTTGTGACCTTGGTTTGTGCTTCTATAGGAGAGTATCTTCTACAACACCCAATACTAGAAAAAGTGGTGTTATCTAAGAGGGAGTGACTGATGCGTAACTCTCCTCTGTATGATGATGAAGCTGGATGATATCTTTGAGAGTAGCTCAACTATAAAAGAAAAAAGGCAAAATATGAATTTTCTCACTTTTACAATTACAGTCAATGTCAGATTAACAAGGCTACATAATATTTTACTGATGAAATATTTGGGATTTGCAATAAATAAACACATAATATACACACTACAATAGATAAACAACAAGAAGGATATATATTTGTAGGGGATAAATGTATCCAATTTAGAGGACAAAAAAGGTGCTGCGGTCAAAATTATAATACATGGTTAAAATTATAAAATATAATATAGAACACTATGTAATTAATATGACAAATACATTTAATAAAACACTTATATATAACGAAGTTTAATTGATTGAGAATACATTACAAATGGAGAGACTATTTAGAAAAACACATAATGTATCGTAAAAGACACTAGTTCTTATTGAAAGGTTAACATCCAATATGAACTAATATTCTAATATGCCTATTTTAGAACAATGTTAACTGTGCTAGTATTATGGTCACAGCCACTAACAGTCCTGTTACAGCTTTTGGCCCTGAGAAAGATGATGATATGTACAGCGTTTCAGAGATTACTTCAGTTTATGGCGAGAAAGAAAACAAGAATAAAGACAAAAAACCTACAAAATTTCTTTATGGAACGATTACTAAAACTCCACCTGAACTTCAAAGAACGGTAAGTAACTTCTACTATGACATGTTAAATGAAGCTTACCTGGTAATGACTTCCAAGAGCTTTCAGAGATTTTATAGTTTGATTTTAGATATAAATTCAATTTGAGTGATCCAGTGATCGAACTCTCTCAAAGGGTCATATTAAAGTCATCTCTTTCCAGGGTCTGCGACAAGAATCGACAAGTGAAAATGGACAAGAAGAGACTGGGAGTGAAGCGACAGACGAAACTATAACCACGACCAGTTCCTTTCCCGACTTTTCTGATACACCTAGTAAAAACAACATCATACCTTCGAGTTTCGCTCTGTATGCTAAAACATTATTTCATTGTAAAACAACCCATGTATATTCATGTTCAGCATTACCACAACCCTTACTTCAAAAGATAGATAAAGGGGACTTTTTGGTAGGTGGAATTTGACAATCTGAACGCGACTTTAGTACAATCAATTCAAATAAAGATTTTTAAATGTTCCAAATACATGTCATATAAAACGACACTGCGACATTTTTCATACTTTATCTTGACTAGAAAGATCAATATCTTTATTGGAGTCTAATAAAGATTGTAGATATGTCTATTTTTATTATTCAAATATTGTATTAATGCGATATTTAATCATTTCAGGCAGCACTCGCCTCCTGGGTCACCATATTAAGGATTATGGGTGATCTACCGGAACGTACTGAAGAGTTAGAAATAGCTATACCCGGGGTATGTATTAAAATTTTATCCTCGAGTACACAGGATATAATCAAATCATGATATTAAATACATTTATAGTTCAATTGGTTATCTAAAAGTTTGAATTTCAACGATGGCTGTTGTATAACACCTTAAAACCGTATATATTCTAGGAAGTACCATCTGTCGTCTCTAAAGTGAAGGATTCGTACAAAATAAAGTATGCGAAGAAAGATATTGATGAAGCACAGAAGAAATATTCTGAATTAGTAGGTTTATTGGAGTTAACTTGTATAATACATACTAAAATTTGGTTCAATTGTACAGACAGCATCGCATACTTACTTTAATAATGGGTTGATACGCTTAGAAATACCTAGAGAAATATAAAAGTAAAAGAAAATATTCCAGATCGGAATGGTTTCTTCCGAATTCAAACTCTTAGTTTTCTTCTTAATTCTTTTCTAGTTCAAAGATCCGCAAAGTTCTTCAGTAAAGGACATACCTTTCTTATACGACGGAAAGGAAACAATGCTAGAAAAAGTTCAGTTTTTAACTGCTCTTGGGATATATAAACCAGAATTAAGGTATCTATCTCTAAAACACGTATTGTTTACCATAAACGGCCCGGGATACTAGCATAAAGATACACTATTTGCAGGGCTGTTAATGGTCAAAAAGCAGTATCAATGCCATCAAAGATGTAATGAAACGTCCGTAATGCAATAATGACATAATGAATCCACGAAACTGATAACAATCAATGATTACGTTGATTTATTTGTAGAGATGAACTGTATTGTCAACTCTGTAAACAACTTTCCAGTAACCCATCTAAGAACAGTACCATCAGAGGTTGGGTACTGATGCAATTACTGGCCGCCAGTTTTACACCAACTGAACATGTAAGTACTTGAGCATGTTTTTCTCCTTTTATAGATTATATTTAACTGTTTCCTTTAACTGTGCATATTCTTTGAGTTTGAAAAAAAATAGTTCCATGGCAAAATCTCTTCTTTGTAGTTTGCTGCCTGTTTGAAAGGATTTTTAAGAGAAGGTCCACGTGAATTAGCCAATAAAGTAGACAGACTGATCAGAAGAACGGGTTCTGTTGGAACTAGAGGTTTCCCACCAAGCTGGTTAGAATTTCAGGTAAGTTCTTTGCTTGAAATTTGAAAAGGAACCAGTAAGACAATAAGCTAGTTAGAGTTAACAGCTAACCGAGATATAAAATAAGACAAAATATCGAGTACATTGAAAACTGTCATACCATTCATTGATGTCATTGATGTAGATCGTTAGGACTGATATAGTAAGATCGTTAGATGGCAGCAATAAACCGAGGTTCAACGTGTTATAGGTTGTGTAAAAGAAAATATGTTAATACCATACACGGAATGACATAGCTCGTCTTTCGTAGGACGCGAAACTCAAATATTATGTGAACAATTGTTATAGGCAGCGAAGAATGGTAAACCAATTTTACTTCCAATAAGTTTTATGACTGGACAACGATACCTTGTAGAAGTTGATGCTTCTTCCACAGTAAAAGAATTGAGTTATAATGTCTGTGTCAAGCATAATATAACTGATGATGTCGGCTTCTCTGTTTATATATCTATACATAATAAGGTGAGTTTCTTTCCATACTGATTGCATACAATACAAGCCAGTATGCGAAAAATGTTGATCAATATATATATATACTATACATCGGAATTGCGAGTTTGATGTCAACTGAGATGAGATATCGACACATCTGACAAGTGGTGTAAAGCTTCTTAAAGCCTTATACCTTTTCCTGTTTACCCAATTGTATTATATTTGCAAAACAAAGTTAGCTTTGGTCCAACGGATATCTCAGATACCATTATTTCACTGTACAGCAATATTTCTCGTTTTATTTTTAAAAGATATCTTGTCTCGGAAATGGTCAATTAAGAATTATGGATGCCATCTCAGAATGTGAACAACATACAAGAAAGTTAGGAATGAGAGAGAGTAATTCTAGCTGGAGATTGTTCTATAGAAAAGAGTACTTTACGCCCTGGCACAATGCTACATTAGATGTAACTGGTACTAATCTGGTGTATCAACAGATAATGAGGGGAATTTCACTTGGGGAATATGAATGCGATAAGGTATTTCTTTTTTACTACCTGTAACTTTGTATGCTTTGTAAACCAAACACTACCCAAATCCGGGTGAGAAATTAACCCAAGAATACCGACTGACCAATGAGTGAGCTGTCAGTTGTTGTGTCTTAATTTCAGATATTGGGGGGGCCATTGTATTTATTCCCGAGTCTGTTACGACTGTACAATTGTTATTTTTCCACAGGAAAATGTATTGGTCCTTCTAGCTGCACAGAAATATTACTTAGAATATCCCCCTGGTGTAGATGATAAGAAATTAGACTTAATGTTAAGATCTTGGCTTCCACAAGACAGCAAATATAAAAATAGTATGGAGGAATGGACAAACAAGGTGAAAGATGCCATCAAAAACAATTTTGAAGAAAAGCAACCAACGCCTCACCAGCTGAAAGTCGACATTGTAACGTTTGCTCTAGAAAAATGGTGTTTGTTGTTTTCACGCTTTTATGATGTGTCAAGATATGCCGGGCCGGTTGAAGCATTAAGTAATGTTGTTATGGCTATAAATTCAAGTGGTGTACATATACTTGATGAAACTGAAAATGTTCGTTCTACTGTAAATTATATAGAAATTTCTGGTTTATCGAAATGGAGGTAAGTACAAACTTTTGTTCTACAACCATTTGATTCTGAACTCGTAAGTACACCATGACTGCTTGATTCTGAATGAACTGTCAAGTAATTTATCAACGTACTTTCAGTTTGTTCGATGATATTTGCATTTGCATTAACCACATGTATATGATTACTGTACATAACTTTCCATTGAATTCAATCTATTTCAGACACTCTGTGACCATAAATACAGTGAAAAATGAGAGTTTTGTTGTAACATCTCAACATTCTGATGATATGTATCAATTACTCAGTACATTTTATGATGGTTTAAAAGATCAGTCAACCTATGCTCTGGTTATTCAAGATGCTGCTGAATACGGTATATATCTAGTAGTTATAAAGATAACACTGTACAAATTATGTGTCTTAAATCGCAGCAATTTCTGTAAAAGGTGTATAATAACAAATGCTTATCTTAAACTGTTGAAACTATCTGTTAGAAGTCACAATGCTTGAACGTTCTAATGTTTTCTTCTCGATACCATGCTAATATCTAACAGCTAAAGGACTGGAAATACAGAGAGACTTATATAACTGTGTTAGGGTGTATTGAGACGAGTCTCAATGAAAGCACTGGCCTAGGTCACAGAGCAATAGATAAGTCTATTAATTATGTGAAAATTAGTTAGTCATTAGTATGATTTTAGTTGAAAAGACACAAACACAAACTTACACTGCATGTTATATAATATACTGTATATAGCCATGGCACCAGTCCTGAAATAAGTAACTGTGTTATCCCTTCAGGTGCAGTTGATATGACTCTATCGAAAGGAGATCTAGTAATACTAGACAAGGCCAATAAAGAGTATGATGGTTGTGATATCTTTTCTGTAACCTGTCCTCGAACCAGTAAATCTGGCCAACTTCCACGTGGCATATTATATATATTACCCTCAGTCCAAAAACCAAATACAAGCATCATGGTAAGTTCATTAGATTTAAAATTGAATAAGATGATATCGAAGGACCGACAATGAAAGTGTTGGAGTCTTAGAACTGTCTGAATAATGTTAAGTTTGGAAATTGTTTTTATACTTACTGGATGTGAATGATTCTGATTTCTGCTTAATTTTCGTCGCCTTTGTAGATCGTTACATTTATATTCAACATATTGAAAGTTATGACATATACATGTAGTGTCTCCTCCTCAGCATCCCGAATCTATATCTATTAATTACAGACAATGATGACGTCCCAGCTAAAGAAAGATGTCATGCCATTTTGTTCTGAGGATGGTAACAAACAGCATACCCTGGCACTGTTTGCTCGCTACCACTTTAGGCAAAGTAATGAAAATGCAGTTAGTAAACTATTGTCTAAAGCTTCATTTAAAAAAGAGAAATCGGATTTATTATGGCAGTACAGTAGAGAAGTATCTAAGAAACCATTTTTAAAGAAATCATTTCTAAAAGAAGATGTACGAATTTGTGCAATACGTTCGTTTCTTGATATCCTTTTATTAATAATTCTATATCTATAAAATAATGTGCAGGTATTCTTATTGTAATGCCTTTAAGTGATCATATTGATGTCACTATACATCAAAGAAAACAGAGAAGAGCAGGGAATGGGGGAGTATGACTATATTGTGTTGGTAGATATTACGAATATCATTATTATAGCATTTTTTTAATTTAACATTCCTTAACTCTATATTACCAATACAACAATTTATGGGTGATGTCCCGGCACCGGAAACACAAACTGTAACAGAAGTTGTTAACGAGAATGTTATAGATCAAGTCAGTAGAAATGTAAGTTTAAGTTATTTATAGAAAAATATTCATCGTTCCAAAAAAATAAAACATATTATAAACATGTTTCTTTGGAGAAAGATACAGCTTTAAATGTTCCTTGTAATATCATGAGAGAGGTACGACCCCTGTCTTTCGTCTCATAAATATAACTGCATGTTTTTCAAAGAACATGGAAATACACTACCTTTTTTCAATTTCACTAGATACCCTGACTTGTAATGCATTGTAATATTTAATATTTAGAGATATCTACGAGAGGAGATCTTTTGTCAGATGATTAAACAGTTAACAAACAACCCAAATAAGTAAGTTGACTTGATGATCAAAGAAATTTAACTGAAGTGTTGAATCACTCATTACTTGCTTTTGAATACGTAGATTTTAAAGTATATATATTTTCAGTGTAAACCTTAATATTATATATTCTTTACTTCAAGAGGATTTAATATACTTACAGAAAAAGGGGATGTCTTGTACATGTGTTTATCATCCCTTCTAGTGCGAAATAGAATTCGACAATAATATTGAAATAATGTATTCATCATACTCGATACAGACATGTTTTTTGAACCTGTGTTACATTCTCTTAATAATGTCACCCTAGTTGTTCCCTGATTGAATATTTTCTTAATTGTAGAATAAGTTGTGATAGAGGCTATCAACTGCTGTATTTTATTTGTGGTGCAGCTCTACCTAGTTATGAAATACAACAAGAACTTCTCCGATTTTTACATACCAGTAAACATTTCATGGCTAAACATTGTATTCAAAGACTACATAGTGCTAAAAAGTGAGATTAATTTTCTAAGCTTTTTCCAAGCTTCAACTTTAAGCTTTCAAAATTCAGAAGTTCAATATATATATCTACAATAAATGCCGTGGGGGTGTCTTTGTGGATAAATTTTTGACTTTTATCGAATTCCAAAAGATGTCAAAGATGATAATGATAGCTTAGTTATTTCTTAATCCATATGAACAAAATGATACTGAGAATTTGACAATTCCGGTTCTTTTTTTCATAATTTAAGGTATTGATTTGATGTAATGTTTATTTAGTCTAAAATCACATGTGTTTTTTAGATGTGGTTGCCGTTTACATCCACCTCATCCAGTAGAATATGAGGCTATCAGCAACACCCAGTTTACTATACCTGTTGACGTGTTCTTGCCAGATGGTACTAAACAGGTAAATATACCAAATTTTTAAGTGTAAGAAGGAAAAATACCCAATAAAACTCTTAAAATAGGAACGCGTCTTGTAAACGTTTAGTAGGTTATTAAGATGCAGGAGATGATGAAGTTTTATAACTTAAATATTTTAAGATTATTGTCCCTTTTCTTTTCGAAAAGATTGACCACCTTGATTCACGTAACAATTAGGTAATCTGTATGATTATGGATCTTGACTCCCAAAAAGCACAGCAGAAGGCACAAGTGACGAAACAATACGTTATATTAAAATCAAAAGATATTCAGATTCTAAAAAGTCATAGGTTTCGGTTGAGTATTTGAACCCAGTTCAGTTGTCAGTGAATATTTGACCCTTCATTTCGCTTACAGCAGGCGAATTTACACTTTAAAATTACACAGAATAAGGGAAGAAGGATTATAGAAAGACTTTTTTTCTAAATGTGCAATGTGTACGAATCTATTTTCAGACAGTAGCTGTTAGTACTGATACCAGAGTAAGAGATATAACTAAACATATTGGTGTCAAATTAAAACTACAATATGTCGACGAATATTCTTTATTTATAACAGTAGCCAATGGAAGTAAGTAAACACTCCTTTTTACCTATGTTTCATACCAGTAAAGGTTTTTAGTCGACTTCCTATATTGAGACCTTTATTAAATATTTTTTCAGTTCATGCAATGGCTTGGGATCATTTTTACTATGATGGTATTTCTCATGCCGAGATATTCAGTTTACGACCTCGACCAGACACTCCGTGTAAGTATTACTATTTAGTCTCTCTAAGGAGAAATATATTTGCAGAAAATTCTCTAATTTTTTGGGTTAGCAAAGAAAGCGACGTTAATGTGCACCGTAGTGCCCACAACTTACTCGTATGGATTCATCTTTCCGGTGAAAAGTTTTCTAATATAAATATTGTACTGTTCTTGATTTCAAACAGAAATGTTTAATTCATATTACTCGTATCGTATTTCAGTGCCGAAAACAGGAATATGTATTGTTATGTTAAGGAAGTTATGGGTAAACACACAGAGTGGGGATAACAAATCAGCCGATTTCCACTTTCATTACCCACAGGTACGAAGCTTTTCTTTCTATTGGTCATATTAGTATTAAACAAAGAATTACCGAATACATTAGTAGACTGGTATACATAAACAGAAGATTGGTTTCACTACCATTTTACAATGTGACAGTTTCCCCGATAGATTCCAAGAATCGTTCTATTTTCCATCTGTTAAATTTCATCTACATGTAGGGAGGCTGAATAATCATACTATGACAATACCTTTTTCAGGAGTTACAGAATTATCTTCAAGGATATCTGAAATGTACAGACGCAGCTGTTATACAATTTGCAGCATTGGCGTATAGGGCTAAATATGGTGATGATAACACACAATTTACAAACTTCGGGTAAACAATTTTCAGATTTAGTCACTTAGTAGACAATGGGTTATGAGTGGAAAAAAAAAACAGACAATACATGTATTTGTATCATAGTCCGCAACAAGGGTTCATAGTTCAATAATCGAAAATTACAATTTTAACTGCTAGTAATAATGATAATAATATCTTTATTTCGTTCTTTGGCATGTTTCTTAAATGTTTTATTTCAGCAAAATTGCTACATCAATAATCCCAAGACATTTATTATCATCAAGCCCAGCTGGAGATTGGGTTCAGGTATGTCGTTTCTTTATCGTAGCAATATATTATGTTTAAAGTCTATTATGAATGCAAAAAAAGAATGTATAAATAGTTTTTTATCGATATGTTATCGTATTGTTTTATGATTGTAATTGTTGGTCTCCATTGTCGTTTCAGCATATATCTGATGAATATAAGAAGTCTAAAGGTCTGACGTCTGACGATGCCATGACAGAATTTTTAAAACAGACAGAAAAATATCCAACATATGGCTCTGTGTTTTTTGAAGTAAAGGTAAGAATATTGTTGATATTTATAGTAATTCAGAATTTTGTAGGAACCGAGATCCACCATGAATTGATTTTAAGATTGATCTAAAAGGAAGAATTTTCTGGAGATAACATGGGAAATGTATCAATTCGTTTTCGCTAGGGAATGTGTGTCCAGCATGACAATTTGTTACATACACCTAAAAACAATAACCTGGCGTAAAGAATTGTGTTCACAGCAAACTTCTTATTAATAAAGCAAATAGAAAATAAATGGGTTATTACCTACTGATGATGCGGTTGCATTATAATTTTTTTTTTGATTTCAGCAAAGAAGCTCCAAGACATTACCAAAAGAAATGTTACTCGCAATAAATTCTAAAGGTGTTCATTTATTACACAAGTCCACAAAGGTTGGTAAAATTGTGTGATGATCTGAATTTATCAAAGATAGAAATTTGCAACAAATGAAACTTGAATAAGAAAGTAAATAAAACAAAATTATATACACGTACATGTATATATTTATTGAAATGAGTAACAGGCAAGCAAAATCCCCGCTTGTTTTTTTTATATCTTGAACATACTAACACGTCCGTTGCTCAATTAAAAAAATATACAGTTTTCCTTATTTGGGTCCATTTTCCGTTTTCTGAAAACTACAGTCAAATTGTGGTAATGTTGATCAAGAATCAGTCGGACAATTCATGTTAGATTGGGTATTTTTTTAGTAAAAAGTGGGTTATTTTTCTTTTGTAGGAGTTGATTGTAACCCATCCGTTTGCCAACATACCAAATTGGGCTTATGATGAAAATTCATTTACAATCATGTTACAAGAGAAACAAGAATCGAGACATATTTTGTTAGAAACCAGAGTTGTAAGTCATTTTCTTAGTCTAAATTCACGTTAACATTATATTTTTGAAATGGTGTTCTGATAAGCTTTTTAAACACCTAATGACATGAGCATGTCATGAGACATTTTCGTGAAGAAAATGTATATTTTTCTAGAATAGTTACAAAACCTTATAAATTGTGTATACGTCAATGCGAATTTATGCATAACCATTTAGTTTCTTTTGCAGTTCACTTTAGGAATGATCTGAAGGAAAGTACTATCATACTCTAGTACTGTTAAATGTGATAATTCCAAAGCTATGCTTAAAGATCTGTGCGTTAATATCACAATTCAGAAGTATCTGTAGAATTATTTTTATCAGGAATGATCATACTATGGGATACTGATATTTCCAAAAATATATTTAAATATTTACGACTTAATATCAAATGAACAATTTTCTCTGTCTGATCTAATTCCAGGGTCACAATATAGATGATTTAATTATGTCCTATATCAGCTTCTTAATGAATATACAGATGAGTAAAAAGACAAGTTTTAGTGCTGCTGTTGGTGAAAGCTTGTGTTAACTTCTTTTAGTGGCAGATAATGGTCGGATAGTGAATAATACAAGTTTATAAATAGTTTTTATATACATGTATATGTATCTTGCGACACCTTGCCAATGATCGACATGTGTTCAATTTACATATTTAGTTCGTCATCACATAATGCTTAGTAGGACTTACTCATGTTATTTTGTGATCGATTTTTTTTGTTCGTTTTTTACCTGCACATTTTTTATTTTAAGAGACTTTTCTACAAAATCAACATTCGTGACAATAATATTTATTCTGTAACGTTCTAATTTCCGAGGTAAATCCGCAACATTTTAGCATTTGAGGTCCAAAAACCTTCATGAACAATTTACATAACTCTACGATAAGACTGTTGAAATACTAGTTGGCATCTAATTATATTGGTACCCATTAGACATTAGAGACATATAGAGATGATCAAGAATGAATACCAGCTGTTGATTTCAGCATTAGAGTTGAATGGGGTCAACTCAATATATAATTCAACATCGCATATAATATAACAATAAAATCTTAATAAATCCAAATATCAGCTCCAGTGAGGTAGTAGTGTTAATGGTAAACTAGGATATCGCGGTCCTCAAAGTTTAGTGGCAAATATTGTGCGTAATGTCAAGAAAGCTTTACCACATACACTACTTTCGATGTGATCCACCGTCTGTCTATTATTACTGTCATTGTTGATACTCAAGATTCTTCACTTTCTAAACTTTTTCTAAATACATAAATATATATTAACCAGATTCAATTTCGAATGCCACTGGCACAGATTTAGGTTAATTAAAGCACACAATGTCACAATGTAAGATAACATTTACAGAAATCAAATGACGTCGTAAAGTTTTTTTTGAAAGCTATGTATAATGTCAAATATTGTATATAAAAACTTAACCTTTTGTGTTTGTTGTCATGTAAACAAGATTGACATATGGACAACCAATAACTGTTCATCAGTTGTTATTTCTCGAGCTGGTCGAGTACCTTTTCGTTCAATAAGGCCCATAAGCAGTGCATGAAATGACATAAGAAAAGTACAATCACTAGAGGCAGTTTTTTCCTATAATCCTGTTGGTTTCTCAAAAGCACCAGAGGTGTGAAGGTAACGGTATAATTTATGATACTAGTTTTATCTGGTTTCTATCTCTTACCAGTCACCACCGTACTCAAATAATAATCAAAAGATCAAGATCTCAATTAAAGCATGCAATTTCAAAGAATATATGGTATTGTCTTCCATTTGAGAGCGTTTTATTCAAGAACCAAATGTAGAAATAAATGTCATAAAGATACACCTATGATAATTAAAAAGAATATCAAGGGAGACAACTTTCATGAATGATAAAAAAGAAAAGAAAATACGAGGAGAAAAATTTGAAAAGCTAATTTTAAGCTGTAGTTTACTGATATTTAAGACATTCAATAATTCATGATATCATCGGTAGATATCAGACTTGAGCAGGCCCATAGCCAGACTTGATTGTTGATAATATATCCGGAGGGGCAATGGTGTATCATGTAAAAGTCCATCCAATTGTAGTAATTTGATAAGATTTCCTACAAGTTCAGAGTTGAAAATGATATTCCCAAACTTCTTAACTGTTATTCTGTGAGACAAATTATCTGAAATTACAATTCTTTTCAGACCTTACTAGGTAAGGCCTTGTATCGAACTTGATAACATCAAAAAGTGGTAATGAGTTACCCACAGATCCAGTTCCTCTGACTGAACACTATTCAAATATCAGTCATCAAAGCCTGGACATTAACGAGAATCGATCGATTAATTTGTGTATCATGGTTTATCGCCATTTCCTGTTTCCTTATGAAATATATCACGTTTTATTGAGAAGGGGCATTACGAATGTGAGTGCTAATGTAACAAATTCCAGGATATCTCTGGACTAATATAATAATGGGTATTAAAGAATATTACAAATCCCACTCGTAATGTTATGGAAACATTTCCGGTCTGGAGTGGTCTACCAATAAAATATTGGAATTAGGCTTGCCTCTTCCTTTCAAAATATTTCATTAACTGGTTACATATTTATTCAGAAGATTATTCTCAAAACTTAGATAAAATGTTCGTTATAAATATAATTAGTATTAAAACAGTGATAAAATAACTGACTGAAATTAAACAATCGTATAATACCAAAGAATCAATATTATAAGGCGATCTTCGGGAAAATTAAGGAAGGTGATGAGCAAGAGGAAATTCTCCTTTCTCCAGATTGTTAACTTGAAGCCGAAATTAGTTTTGTTACATTGTCAACACTGAAAATATTACTTTTAATTTGGATGAACTAAACACCCAAACATACATATCGGTGGTAGGAATCTTTATCTAGAATCTGTTACATGGTATTGTATACCTGGATGAAACGTTTGGACGCCCTTATTCGTTTGGATGGTAAAACATCTGTAAGCCTTTTTACATTTGGGTTGTAATGAAACAGTGTATTGCATCAACAGTTCGTGTATATGGTGATGTATTTGTAGAAAATATACATTCTTATAGTGGTTTGAAGGATTGTCTTATCATGAACAGAAAGAAGCAACAGCTAAACATTTGGAGTGACTTTGTCGGCGAAACATCATTACATGGTGTTCGATTTGCTATACATAAGAATAGACATAAGATAGTGAAAGTGATATGGACTTGTTTTGTTGTATGTACTGTTTCATGTCTAAGTTATAATCTTAATCGACTGTATAACACGTATAAAGAATATAATTTTGAAACAAAGACAAATGTAAAATTCGTCAACGAGTTTGAGTTTCCAGCTTTAACTATTTGTAACACACATCCGTTTGATAAAACAAAAGTACGTGACACAGACCCATCTTATGCCTATCTCAAGTCGTCCTTTACTATTCACCAGAAGAGACCAAATTATACTGGAGAAAAGTGGAAAAGGACCGAAATTACAATTGATCATTTGAAGTCTATGTCTTTTTTTGCAAACGATACATTTATATACGCAAAATACAGTACGGACAAAATAGACGTAAATAATGAACTTAAAATGGTCTTTCCATTAAACCTACGTACTTGTTTTACTTACAACGGCCAATGGTTTAATGAAAATTTGACACCAAAAATATCAAAAATAGGTAGTACTCTGACAATGTATATTGACATCAACCAAGACCGTTATGCATTTGAAGCTTCAAGAGCCGGCATTCAAATGGCAGTACATCCTTATGACGAACCAATTGGATTTGGAACGGGAACAGTGAGTCTGTCTCCTGGTAACCATTACGATATCAAAGTATCGGTTAAAAAATACAATTATTTACCTGCGCCTCACAACTCATTTGAAAACAGAAATTGCATTGAAAGAAAAGACATTGCAGCTAAAGTTATGAAATATTTTCCAAGATACACTTTTAAAGCATGCCAACTTGAATGTTTAACTGATTTGATATTGGATACTTGTCATTGTATGGTTGAGTTTATGGTTCCAACCACTCAGCTACGTTACTGTAATGTTTATGAACGGGAACATTGTGTTCATACTATTATTATTCAAGCGGAGGCATCTTTTCATTCCATTTGCAACTGTTCTCACCCGTGTTACGAAACCGTTTATGATGTGGATAGCTCGTCTGTTGTGTTTCCAGCAAAATCATTTTCAGATTATCTTATCAAACAGAATATTTCAGAGAGTTATGACCATGCTAGAAATAACCTGATTCAGATAACCATATCGTTTAAGTATTCAATGTTGGAAGAAATTAACCACGTTCCTAAGTTGACAGTAGGACAAGCAATCAGTGATCTTGGTGGTTACATGGGATTTTTCTTGGGAGCCAGTATATTAACTCTGGTAGAAATTATTGAAGTTGTCTATCGCAGTATATCAGCTGGCATAACAACAGTTCTGCGATACAAGTTCAAAGGTAAAAATGTTGTTCATATCACAAATGAGAAAACAACGGAGGAAGGTATGTGAAATATTTAAAGTAAGAGACAATAATTAGGAAGACGGTTGAATCTTCCTTGGCAGATTTTGTATATTCGTGAAAATGAATATTCTTTTTTGAAACATGTTGTTCATATATGTTAGGCTAGGACAGCAATAGTATGACATTTTATGAACAACATTCGTAAACCAACAGATTATTTAACGTTAGGGAGCTTACCATTCAAGAAAACATACGCTTCTTGACAAATTATTCCGAGGAGATATTCAACCACAGTCAGATGTAATGATAACATTATGTGAATTCAATCATCACAAATTAATAAAAATTGAAAACCCTATTATTTGGTTACGCCCACTCGTTGAAATTTTCAGATCATAACCAATCTCGGTATAAACCTCTTTACTTTGAGTCTCACCTACACAGCAAATTTATAAGCAACCGCGGGCCACTTAACAACTATTATGTGATGTGCGCTCAAATGAGTATATGAAAATAAAGCAATGATATAATGAAATACTTTGATTTTATTGTGATCAATATGTCAATATCCAGATGAATATGTGGAGCAAAGGGTGGTGACATTTATATTTGTTAAAGCACCATCAAACCGGACTGCGACTTTTGCGACGACATGATATCGCGGTCAAACGTGAGGAAAAGTCCCCCAAAATTACAAACTTAAAAACAGTCGACCTCATACGTTATGCGACCGTATTGCGTTCTAACTTTTTTGCAGCGTCATTGAGACGCGTGTACTGCACTTTTACTCCGCAAATTAGATGTTACAAAACTAATCTGACGACCGTCTTGATCTCATGACGTTTCAGAACAGATCGACGAATCTTGACCAAATCAAACGCCGTGACTCGGCGAATAGTGGCGCCAATTACACGACGTCTGGCGTGTCCTACACGCTTATACTATGCTAACAGCGACCATAAGACGCTCTGAGCCAGTAACAGGGCAGTAAGAACTCGGCAACTTCAGATCGAAAATGTTAAATTTGTTGGACCATAGTTCCTCTTAATCGTCTGAAAGTTCCTTCGTCTCGTCCTTTCGGGGGAGCTTTTGGTTAAATCGTCCGAAAACAGTTTACTTTCGGTTTCCTACGGCTGCTTGTGTCAACATTCGCCTACATTTGGCCAATCTCGAGCGGGAACAGTGTATACCGTCGCATACTTGCGACCCGGAATCGTGTCGATAGTTCACAGAAATCAATGATTCGTCCCTCGTTCCCCCACCTCCCTGTGGTCCATTGGTCGGGACTCAATCAGGTAAAAAAGTAGAGGACAACTGGAGGCGATTCGAGACAACAATCGGGCCGATCAAAAATAAACCGATCACTTGTTCACTTCACTTTTTTTTTTACCCGAACTCAATGAACTGGGACGATCGCACCAGGTTTTACCCTCGATGGTGCTCGCATGTTCCTAACCTTTCAGCAGAAATGCAACCGATCGACCCAAAAACTGTACTATCGGGACCAACATAATGCTCAGTGAAATTAGAGTATTAGAAAGGCGCAAAGAGCACTGTTTTGGAGCAACCGCTTTTCTTTAAATATATCAACTTTTGTTTCTACCTATAAAGCTATTTTTGTGAATTATGAGGTTAACATATTATGTTAACGAAAATAAGTACCCGTAAGGGGTATATCCAAGAAAGACTTCTACGACATGTTTAAGATATACTGTTCTTTAATAAGTGATAGGCCATTATCTTTAACAACAGTAACCTGTTTCCTGAAAAGCTTACATTTAGTTTCGAACACTGTGGACGAAGGGTAGAGTAAATACAGCGTATAAAGATTATGTTGAATCCCAAATGGTCGAAAACTTTGGATTTCAGCTGTTAAATTATAGAATTACACAAGTCGCTACAAATGAGTTGCATACTTTTCCACTGGTGTTATTTATCTTACTGTGTTACCACTGAAGTCTTATTTGATTTTATTTCAGTGGTAAAGTATGAGGAGATCACAGTAATAATACTTCGTATGATCAAATCTGTTAGTTCCATTAAGGTGAAAATACTTGCACCGAGAAAAAATCCCATGTAACCACCAAGTACACTAACCACATCACTTAAATATAACTTTGGTTGATGAATAATCTGTTCAAGTTTTAAATTATTATAGGATATATCTACTCGCATCAAATTACTTCTAGCATGTTGTAATCCAGTAGTAAAATTTACGCGAATTAAAATATCAACAAACGATTCAGAAGGGAAAAATTCCGAGGAGAGTTGTCGTTCAAACACATCTTCATTACACGTCAGAGGGCAGTTGCAATTGTCGCTGAAATTTTGAGCATTCTGATAGAATTTTATTGCCAGTGGGTTGGCACAATATTCCCTTTGATAAACAGAACAAAACTTATATTGGCTTGTGTTATACACAATGTATTCAACAACACAATCACATCGCCCTATCACTAAATCTGTTAGACACTCTAATAAACAAGCACTTTGAGAATAACGAGGAAAATATTTCAATGTGTCAGACAGTTGCGATTTCTGAACACAATCAGAATTTTGGTAAGAATTGTACGGCGAAGGGAGATATTGATATTGTTTATATGATAATTTGATATCATGGTATTGACCTGGAGAAAGTTTTACGGAAGGATGTGACTTATGGACTGGTTCATCAGGAGGATGTATATACACAGACATACCGCAAGTAAGGCTTTCGAAGGCGTATCTAGCTTGGTTGACATTGATATACATAACAATCCTAGAGTCAATTCCAAACTGCAAAGGGTTGTATTCCTCTTCAAACCATTGTTCATTCATTGTAAAGCATGGTGACATTATATATGGGAATACATATTTGAATTTTTCTCTTAAAGACATGGAATAGTTTTCACTATTAACATGATATGCTACTTTTATGGTATCATAAATATTAAAGGTTGAACTGTTAATGTCTTTAACGCTCACTATTTTATTTTGCCATTTCTCAGTGGAATAGTTCAAATTTTCTTGGATGGCAATTTGTGGACGAAAACTATTGGTAAAATAAGCTGCAATATCGTTATCAATAGATCTGTTAAGTTTATTTTTATCAAATGCCTGAGCATTACATAGAGTGATGGCTGGAAATTCCAGTTTGGATTGAAACTTGACATCAGTTTTGGTTATGAAATTAAATTGTCTATATTCTTTATATTCCCAATATATATTAACAGTTAATACAGCAAACATAACAATTACACAAATAAGCCATAAACATCTTACAAATTTAGACCTCCCTTTTCCTCCAACATAGTTAAGTCCATGTAATGTTGAAATAGCTAAAAAGTCGTCTACCATCTTTTCTAGTTTCAGTTTCATATTCATTTTGTTCACAGAGGTAAAATACCGTTTCAAATAAAGGCTTTTTTCCAAATATAAATCAACTGCCAACAAATAATTAGAAATGTCAATATCTGTTCTATGATGGATCACAGATGTAAAGTGGCATTTTTCAAAAGAGTCCTTTTAATACCAAACGACAGTTTTAAGTTTCACACAATATAGATCAATATTCCAAACTTCTTAATCCGTTTTAGTATTACTTAAGACGTTGTATCTAAAGAGTTAACAGATGCAAAAGATTTGATATTTTTCCCGCGTGTCTTGATAAGCCTATATAATCCTTCCAAATCATGATAACTATATTGCGATAATGAATTTGTACTAATTCATGATCAATCCGATTATAATGAGAAGTAATTAATATTAACAGGTTATATTCGTTTCAAATTACATAAATTATAAAACACAATCCATTAACTATTCAAACAGTGTTAAAAACTAGGCTACGTGTTTTTTGATGAATAATAACAGACTTCTAATTGATACGGCGATGATATTCATTTTATTCTTGTAGAAATCGAATTATTTACATATACTAATTACTGATAAATTTATACAGCAAGTTTCGTCATTTTCATTTAACTATTGAAGATAAACATTACCTTATATGAAAATATTTGACATCAATTAAATTGTGGAAATTACGGCCAGCAATTTAGCACTTTGAAAAATAAGCAATGATATTATCTAAACTGAATTATACCGCCTTTTGCGAAAACATGACAATGATGGTGCAATTCCATTGAACAGCTTTTGTACCCATTCTCTACGCTCGTATCAGGTAACAAGGCAAATAGCAAAACCAAAGTAAACAAGGACCAAGGACCAAGGACCCAGAGTTGCAATTTCTCGGTTTTGGTTACGACATCTGTAATGGTGTGCAAAATTACATTGGGCGAAACAGGCACCTACGCGTTGTTAACCTTATAAAGACAAATATTACTAAATGCTAATGTATTCTTCCTTCGGAGGAGGAAATTAACTTTAAATCCCAGTGCCACTCCCCTGACAATGACAAGTGTTATAGTAATTATATTGCAGTAGAGTACATAATGGAACATAAATTTAGTTTAGGACTGTATTCTAATGCACTCTTAGAGAAAGCCGTGAGCTGCAGTTATCGACCTATTTTGTCTTTTTATATTTGTTTAATTCACAGAGTCGTTGATGTGGCTTGGTAAATTTCAAGGAATGATTTTGACATTTCCGATCCTCGGTAGCGAATACTGGGTATGGCTAGGGTTCAATAAAAGATTGATTAGTTAAATTATGTTAATATCACGATCAAAAGATTTCTAGGTTTCTTGTGGATGATGGGTGTGTAATAGTGATAACATCGACTATAACTTGTTTATCAATTTATTATATAAATAGATACTAAATATAAATATGTCTAGTGGATTTCTTAAATAAAATTTGATTATGATATTTTTCACAGGTATAGATAACATGATAAAATATATAATATACGGAATACCCAAAAAGATCGGTAACAAAATAGGAATAAATGAGATAAAACCAAGGTAACCAGCGACATTGTTAATGTGCAAATTAGTATTCGTCAGTATATTATTGTGCCAGAAGTAGACTTCTTTCTTATATTTTGTGATCAGTCCTACGGTAAGATATCACCATTACCAATCGATTATCTATTCTCACACAACCAATCTAACAACTGGGGTACAAAATATGTAATGATGATATCTGCTCCTGAAACAAAGAATACAACTTGTCAGACAACTATGTCCAATGGCAGCTACCTCCAGATAGACTGTCAGTATTCTGAAAAGTCTCATAATTAAGCTTGAATCACCGTCTTCTAACTTGCACTCCAGAAGTGGCTTTGGTCAAAATTGGTTGCCCATTAGTGTATACAGTGACATCACGATGCTGTGGAAAATCGGCCGACAAACTTGTGATGAGTGAGACAACCCAGTAGCGAGAAAGTCTAGCAGTCAATATGATCAAAATGCCAATATGCAGCTGATTCATGTTCCTTGATACAATTATCAATAGCATGAAGCCAAAAGCTCAGAACATGTTAAGGTCACCATAAGAGTGGTATAAAAGTGAAGGAAGCGTCAGATACCGTACGGTGAGCGGCATTGTCGCCAATAATCGACGTTGAGATCGTTAAGGAATCGATAATGTCGCCGTAAGATCGCAAAATGTCGCAGTCTTAGTTAATTCCATAGAAAATCATGAGACCCTAATCCGATACTAAGATAAGAACGTCTAATATAATAATGGAATATTACCTGCTCTCCTCATACTTTGTAAACTTTCCAGAACAATATCTTGTAGTTTAAAAGCACCAGCCTTAGCACCATGATATAACATAGCATATTCACCAGATACATGATATATAGCTAACGGGTGATTAGGATACTGTAGATAAAGGGATACAATATGATGGAATTTAAATTGTATGGGTTTGAGTGTATGAGTCCTGATTAATAGTAAGTTGGGCTGTAGAAAAGGTGCCATATGCTCGAATAGATGACATTGAAGATGTATTTGACATTTCTCTTAAAGATGGGTTCCCTTATTTTCATTTATGCTAATGATAATACGTATTATACAAACAGAAAGTAGAGGTGTTCTAATGACCAGTTTGTCTCACAAATCCATAATTAATTCATAATTAGCTAAATTCCAATGAGTGACCGATCAAGAAAGGTCAAAAAGACTTTTTTTAGGTTTTTCCAGACTGTACATACATGGACATTTATGATTGATTAAAACTCTTTATTATATGCAATAAGAACATAATGATATTGATACATGATAATTCATTAGAAACACCAATTAATCAAATAGTTTGCTTAATTTGACACTCAAAAATAAGGAAACCCAACTTTAAGAGTCGGTTTCAGTTTGAATAATTCCACCTTAGCGGTAAAGACATTGGTTAAAATGATATCATTGAGTTTTTACCTTTTGTTTTGCCATTCTAACCACATCAAGATAAGGCATTCCTGGTTTGATCATTAACATATCAGCTCCTTCTGCAACATCTCTATCCTGTAAGTTTTAAGAAACAATAAATATATTAATTAAGTGAAGTCTTCACCACACACCAAAGAATAGGACGCATGTACATGTTAATATGACACCGTACATCTGTAGGTACAGATTAGCTCTTTCCGGTCAACTTCTTATTATGTTTCGTCATACACAACTGATACAAACTGTTCGATGAGAAACGAGGTGCAAGGGCTCGAAATCCCGTTGAATTCAGTATGGAGGTCTAATACCCGTACCCACCACTGCTCTTTCAGCCAAACCAATAGAACCTGGAGGTAATTGGTAATTCTTTCTGTCACCAAATGCTGGGGCACTCTTTGCTGCTTCCCTGAAATGTATGAATGATTGGCATTCAAGTTTGCGTAAATTCAATAATATGAACATCAAATTTGAGATTATAATTACGTTTTCTTTTGGTTGACTATGTGAATCATAATGTGAATAATATTTTACCTGAATGGTCCATAAAAATTTGATGCAAATTTAGCACTATATGACATTACTGAAACGTGATTCTGTATGCCATGACTTCTTAAAGCAGTTTTAATTCTACCAACTCTACCATCCATTACATCTGATGGAGCAATTATATGACAACCTGGAAAACAGAAATCGCCCGTTTTACCATCGGCGCAGCAACGGGGAGTAAACGTGAATTAACTGTCCAAAATTTGAAAGAACTGTGAGATACCGGGGAAGACAAATGCTTTCCGTGCCACTACAGACCGCTTCCTAGTTTTGTTACATCCATTTATGAACTGTCACGAATTGTTGCGTTCGTCCGTTTTTATACGGCCGACTAGGTTTGTCACCCTCACCGATACTACCGTGGATATTTTTCTTTTTTCATTCCTTTGTGTTGTCTCACGTCTATCCCGTTTATGTCCATGGTGGCCTGAAATGCGGATGCCGTTGAACATGATGTAAAAGTAGCGCTGTTAGAAAATCCACAATATTTTATAGAAAGCTGCTGACTTTTGTCATAGCTTATGATATTTTGATTTCGTCCGGCAAAAACTCCAGTTAAGTTAAGCATACTGATACCTGCTTTAGCATATGCGACTGAGATCTCTGCTAGTCTATTTATAGATGCTTCATTGTCAATGTAGCCGTCTTCTTTTAAAATACCTGGCAGGAAAATAACAAACCGTTTACCAAATATAATCAAATTTCATGTTTTACTGAAATTCTTTACGGAAAAATATCTGAGGCGGGTGTAGGGATAGTATTTTCATACATGAATCATACATGTTGGTAGCAACTGGGTTATAAGAAATAGTATGATAAATGTGGCATGCCAACTTTTGCTCCAATTTAATCGATTATGCGCGTGTAGGAATAGGTAAATATTTACCACAATGTCCATGGCTACTATAAGGACAGATACAGACATCGCAAGCAATAAGTAAATTCGGAAACCATTTTCTTATTTTCGGCAATGCCTCAACAACAGGATTAGAAACACTGTCTGCTGGAGACCCCCTGGAATCCTGAAAATTATTCAAAAATAAAAACCTCTGACATTAAATAATGACTTTAATGCAACTTGACACCCAAAATTTAGTAAAATATTAAAATACACTATTATATAAACATGGCTGTTTTGACAAGTATATAAATCATTTCAGCCACAATGTAAAAAAATATTTTTATTATTTTCGAAAAATAATTGCAAACGCACTGTAGAGTTATTGAAACTGCTCTTTTTTGTCGTTCAATCGGAAAGCTTTGGAAATAGATTGCATTACTTAACCTACGCCCACTGATAGCTTTGATTGTAAGTATAAGTCTTTGTTTGCTGTCCATTCAATTGTAGCCTGTAGAGTGAGCACGAGTTGCACAATATAGCTAATAGATATAAATATAACACTATTAAACAATTATCCAATCATCACAAAAATCGATAGGGATCATCTTCATAATGACATTGACAAACAAAATCAAAATCAAAAGAGCCTGTAAAGAATTGTTGCCTGTAGAGTGAGCACGAGTTGCACAATATAGCTAATTGAGTGAAACGTCAAGTTAGACACGATATTTCGGTGAAAAATTATCCGATAATGAAAATAGATAGGGATCATCTTGACATTGACGCTCAAAATCAAAATCAAAAGAATCTGTAAAGAATTGTAGCCTGTAGAGTGAGCACGAACTAAATGTGAACGGACGGACCGACGGACTGACCGACAGGGGGATTACAATATACGCCCATCTTATGTGTGGGCGTATAAAAATGCATTATAAAATTTTAAAAACTCAAGTGAATAAGTTAATGTTTTTCATATTTTCATTTTTCTGACCTAGATCAGGGTAAGGCCAAAAAGTTTTGATTTACCAATTTACCGAACAGCTTAATCATTATTATGTAAATAATTGCCAACAATATTGTGAATAATAATATTCAAAGTCATTATTTATTCCAGGTATCTCATATATCAGATATCTTTTTAGTCATATTCGCGCAAAATTGGTTTCGCGTCGTGTAACCCGCTGAATTTTACGATCGAAGCTGCAAAATCATATAATGCAGTATTTGCAGCAGTATGGGGTATGCATGGGGTGTGTGTTAACCACTGAAACGTTAAGATATTTTTATTTTTATTATATAATCATCATACATATCTCGTTATATTTCATAACTTACCTTTTCAGTTTTAGATAACACTCCAAATAGCAGAACGGTTTTTAACCCTTTCTTTACTAAGGGTTCCAGAGCATCAAATAATGTGTTAATTCCATATCTGCTTTGTCCTGGAAGGCTGGGAATTTCTTCTAATGCATCTGGGTCGTTTCTAATTGACGAGAAAGAAAGATTTTACGTATGGTCTGAAAGTTCGTTTTGGCGAATCGGGATCGACTCGCAAGCTCCGCACATAAAAATCATAAAATGCTACTTGCATTTAGTTGGTAACTGTTGAGTGATCACTTCATTGTTCTCGCATGGATATAATTATAGGCTACAAAGCACAAACCACAATAATAACTAACCGTATATAACAATAACATGCAAACGTGTAATCGACTGGATAATAAAATCCGTACAAAGCAAGACAATTTGGTTAATCAAAATCTCCAATGTATGATAAGATCGAGAGTAAAAGTTGTGTAGCTAGTAGTGACATTTGGCTCTATATAGCAATGTAAATACAGGCAATGGAACTTTTTCAAGAGGGGTTGTGGCCGGGTGCTCAACTATTTGACTGGACAGATCAAGCAAGGGATAACATCACCACACTACCGATTCTAAGATGCTAAAATAATTCAAAAATAAGCATTTTCAGAAATTACAAGAAAAACATGTTGTAGAACTGCAAACCAATGATATAAGTGAGTTCTTGCTGTTAGTACCATCCAGTCCAAAGAAGTAAGTCTTTGTCGAGAAATTCAACTTTACCTGCACTTTTATTAAACAGGTAAAACATTACATGGTTTAAAAGAATTATTTCATGAAATGTACGGTATCCTTTAGAACACGGGTCGCGTGCTATACAATGTAAAGGCATAATGTATTCAATACTTACGTGATAAATATTGGATATATCAAATGCTCTGGTTGGATTGAGGTATTACTAGTTTGCCATGATCTTAAAACAGGGTGAAAATATCCACTATGTAATATAGTTTGCTCAGACATTTCTCAAGTATAATGCAAAAATATGCAGACGATAATAACGAGTCTGGTTTATATCTTTTTTTGTCAACCAATTAGAGTTGTAAGAAATATTGTCAGTGAATTTATCCAATCAAACACTCTCTTGCGTACAATCGGCAAGTTACAAGTCGCGGTCTACCAGACACGGTATATATAATGCAGCGGTACACTTTGATCTTTGACAGATTGGGTGCAGGTCGGGGATAAAGGTGGGAAAGTACAGAAACTTTCGCATCTTTTTTAAATCAAATTCATCATGTGGAATAGTTTAATTGATAGTTCATTCAAATAGTGTGTGAAAGCTTTCAAAGTATTAGAATATATACTACAGCAGACTGTAGGCCTATTCCTTGAGAAATACTTTGCTGACTTTTTTTTAAAAATAAATTTAAATATCAACTTCAAAACGGGTTTGATTGGTTAAGTGTGACATAGAAATATAAAAAGTCAAAGTTTACATTGAAAAGCTACCGATTTTCGTCTCAAAAATTTCATCCGAAAGTGTTCCGAATTTCAAATTTCGAAGAGATAATGTGTGCTCATTTTTATGTTCATTTTTTATGTCAGTTCATGACTGTTTTGGAGCTGCAATTTCTATGCAGTCACATTCGATTCACCGACAGTAACTATATTTTAACCAAATCGCAGTTATGATTTATAGGCTACAATTTGGATAAAGATTCGATCCCTGGAACGATTTTTATGCACAGATTTTTAATTGATGCCATTAACTAAATGTTTCCATCGATGAAGGCGTTTTAGATATAACTTCTGTTCAGCTACTGAGTCAATGATTTAATGCTATGTCAGAAATATTCCGATTTCTGCCTTGTGAATTCTTGCAAATATTTCTTAATAAATAATCCAAAAACTCATTTTGAAGTATGCAAATAAAAATGAGGAGGTTTATTTAACTAAAGTGTAAGTGAAAGACCAGATTTGATAGGGATCGGATGAATTACATTGATGCATTTGAACCATTTGTTCTTTATAGTGGATGCCTGCAATATTTGTAACATGGACTGGGCACCAGAATCTACCATCGAACTCATAAAGTAGTTGTCCAGCATATTCCTTGATCTGATGAAAAGACCAAACAGCACGGTTAGAGTCAGTAAGACATTCACAGGGCTGTTTCTTTAACAACAAAGTATGTTTGTCCATATAAACACATTGATGATCGTGCCCAAGTCGACCTCGAAAATCCAAACTGAAATGATTTTCTGGCAATATTCTGTGTTTAAAACAATCATATGTTATACCAATGTACCCATCTTCTAGTGGAGCCCAACATAATGCTGTTTTATAATTAGTCAGTTCTCCAAAATAATCATCAGAGTAAGAAGGCACTTTAATCTCAGGCATGATGTGGTCCAGAAACCATTTAAAGGGCTTGCAGTTTAATTTTCGCCTCAATTGTTTTCTAGCCATCCTTGACTTGAGTTCAGCGTGTGTCATTACTGGATCGGGTCCGAATGCTCTTGACACTGCATCGAATATCCATTTATATTCGTCTAACCAAATGTCTGATATTCTCATCAGATTTTTTCGTATGACAGTTGATTTATCGCCATCAAAACCATACTTATTTTCTTTAAACATGTGTCCCACACGAGAACATGTTACAGTTAGGATTCTTCCGCCACATAACCATGTCCTAAATGATAAATCAAAGTGCTCTCCACCCCAAATATTAAGCCCATCATCGAATCTTCCAGTAGAATCAAAGTGGTCTTTCCTGGCAGCTATAGCACAACCAACTAGTACTGGTGTTGGGAAAGGATCTGTTACTGATGTAAAGGATTGACTTAAGTATTTTGGTAAATGAAACCACGAATATCTGCAAGAAAATATTGGATAAGTTATCACACGTGATTGTTTATTTTAATTTGCAGATGGCGGCCCTTCCGGACTATACCATTTGTTAATTAAACAAGTATTACTTTCAAAGATCATTCACATGTATACTTTTTTTCTGCAATTTCATCACAATATTTTTTCGAATGTTTTGTAAATACCTAGGTGAATAATTAATAAAAAACAGTTTTATTGGTATAAACCTTGTAGTATTTGTATATAAAGGTGGCCACCCATGTATGGCAGACAATTTCTAATAGCAGAATTGTTGTGAAAACAGAGTGGTCAATTTCAGCCAGTAAATGAAAGTCTTGCAAAACTATGTGCCTATTCTATTAGAGGATGTGGAAGAAAAAAAGAATGACATACCTTAAATCCCATCCAAATCCTCCACGGAACATATCTCCAGGGTAGGCATAAAAATCTATAGTATTGGAATCAATGACATCAACGTGAGGTTGTACTATGGTTTGGTTGTTGCGAGCTAATTCATGAACCAGTGGTTCCAACCAACCAGTGTTACATTCAATATGAGCATCTAACCATATCAAAATATCACCAGTAGCATTATCAGCACCTGTTAATCTAGATCTAACTAACCCTTGACGCTGTGTGTTCCTCAATATACGTACTCTTGGATCCAGTGATGACACGTATATTGATAAAACCTCTCCAAGATCTGCAAAGGTACTGAGGTCATCAACAAGTATAACTTCCTCCAGTATATTAGCTGGAGATCTGTAAAGTACGCTGTGGACTGTTCGTAATAAAGTTGTCAAAGCTTCGTTGTGGAAAATGATGATGACAGACACCTTGATGCCATCTGGAATGGTGTATGATTTGGCCAGACAGCCTGGAGGTCTTGTATCTGGTATATCTCTATCTAATGGAATTTCATCACTTATACTAACATTAAAATTATAGGCTGCATCAGGTGGTCGAAACTTATTTTGAATGATTTCCCCCAATAAAATCTTCAATTCTGTAGCATTTAATACTCTTTTTCGTTCACGTTGTTCGTTGGGTAATCTACAGTATTAAATGAATATAATACCTTTATTAATGATTCTTTTTTAAACAAAAGTTAAATATCTTGTTCCAAAAAATTTCATGAATTATGCCTCAAAATTATTTATTGACGGTTACAAATGATTTGCTTCTTTAGCTGCCTTATTATATGAGTAAAATGTGTTTTTAGAATATTCTTTAAAGATGGGTTCCCTTTTTTTCATTTATTAAAATGAAAATGCTAATATTATATGAATTGAAAGTAGAGGTATTCTAATGACCTGGAAAATACCAGTTTGTCTCGCATGTCCATAATTAATTCATATTTAGCTAAATGAGAAGACAATTACCAGCAGAATTCCAATTAGTGACCGATCGAGAAAGGTCAAATAGTCTTATTTTTTTGTTTATCCAGACTGTACATACATGGACATTTTTGATTGGTTAAAACTCTTAATTGTAAGCAATAAGAACATAATGATATGATTAAGAATAAATGATTATTCATAAGAAAAACCAATTTACCAATAGTTTACTTAATTTGACACTAAAATATAAGGAAACCCATCTTTAATTCCCATTATCATAAATTGCTAAAAGCAAATAAATTGTTTAACTATCTGATCACTAGTGCTTCTGAATTGAATTTTGTTTTAAATTCTACAAATATTCAAACTTTTCAAAAACTTATTATTTGTTTAGAATGTTTTCCGGTTCAGGTTTGGAAACTTTACGTTGACAAAAACATACTTCCATATACCCACATAAAGATAACCCACATATCCAGTATTTTCCCCTCTTTTGATGTAAAAGAATACGATTTAGATAAGACGATTGTCAGGCAATAATGAGTATCGATAATTACCTGTTATCAATTTCCTTGGTTTGTGCCGACTTTTCTATTGAAAACTGAGATATCAAGAAACAAAATTGGACAAGAAACATGATAAGAAAAAATATCGTCCATGATATGATATTTACTCGTCGGGTCCAAATTGGAGGTATCAGAAACATTTCCATTCATTAAAACAGACGATGAACTCAGGCGGATGTTGATATATATGCTGATATGCACGCGCACTTTGGGCGATTTCCTGGGGTGTGTTCGATTTGCAGGTCTGTAAAATCAACTGAAAATGATAAAACGTAGTCCGAAACATCACTTGTCCTCTAAAATTGAGTTAAATTTATGTAAATTATTTTTCTAATGAAGGCAGGTATCAAGTACATTGTGCAAGATTCAGAAGTTCAACGATAAAGGAGGTTTTTTTTTACAGACAACTAAGTACAAGAGGATTGTGGTAGATTGTTTTTGGAGTATTTTTTTTTTCAAATATTCAGACTTAGACGTGTGTCTCCAAGGTCCAAAGGACCAAGGCCCACTGAGGCCAGGGGATGAGCACTTAGAGGGCTTTAAAAATGAAATGAATGTACTTTTCAACTTCAAAATTGGGCATTTCACAGGCCTGAAGGAGTGGGCAGGGCCCAATAGCACACCCCCTAAAATACTCCTGGACTCTCTTTATATGCTAGGAGTGAACAGAGGTATTCTACCCGGTACTCTGTGTCGCATGATGGATACTGTCAATAATGTAAAAAGGCGAATACGTGAGGTGCGAACTCGACCATGGTTTGCTTCTTCCATTTTAATGTAAAGATATTCACAATGTACACCGTCTATTCGCACATTTCCCTCTGTTAAAGGGACAGTTGGGTCATACTTCAGTCTTGGAAACGTGATGTTTTTTTAGCTAAGCCAATCAGTAACGTGTTCACAGCTCACAGTTGAAGTTTCAGCCTTCAAATCATGATTCGTCATTTTAAGATACTTTGTAATATATAGAAAAAGTGAGTTAAATTCTACGGAGCCCCTAAGGCGCAATTGTAAACATATAATAAATAAATATGTTTACAATTGCGCCTTAGGGGCTCCGTACTTAGGGGCTCCGTAAATTAGATATAAGTCTACGTTTTACTTTTTATTTCTATTCTTTACTTAAATCACAAATAACAATTAACATATAATGAAAATAAATAAACGACATAGATTGCCATGCATTATATTACTACGTATCTTCCGAAATCTTCGGAACTCGTCCGTTGATCTGTTGCATCACTTCTGTCCCAATTTCTTCTTTTCATCAAACTCTTCAGTTTCAGGATTACTTTTTAAATTGACAGATTTGTTTCTATTTTCTACATTTGAGCTTTCTCTTCTAGACTGAATATAGTGTTCACTTGAACTTTTAAAACTTGCTTTAAGCATTCTGAAAACTCTTTTATTGCCCACAAAGGTTAGAAAAATCACGACACCTTGTGATCCCACAAATATCGTGAACAGATAAGCGAAAGAGACGTTTCCAGTAGCTTCAAAGGCGAAAGCAAAGATCCAGGTTAGGCCAGTGATAACAGATAATTTAAGACAACCTAACATACTGATCTGACTTTCTTGGTTTGATTGCAGCTTCTCGTTCATCTTTAACTTGATGAAAGTAGAGGAGAAGAGAAGTATATTAATCAGAACAAGAAGACCAACTGGTAGAGCAAAGCCATAACGTCGACCATTAATACTAGTAATATAACACGAGGTGCCTCCATACCCATACGAATTATCAGTATAGTAAGAGGACATGACTAGAATGGTTACTATAAGACCAGAACTACCCCAACAATATAAATTGGAAGCTATCAGTAACAGTCTAGTTGATAGATTCCGAGACTCAACAGGGAAATTCAACTTGTAAAACAGGATTAAAGTGCAGACATTCATCCAAAACGTTGAGGCTAACCAAAAGAAATGGGTGAGTATTCCTAAGGTTTGACAAACCCAACTGGTTTCTGTCTGCTCGGCACCGAATTCAAATAGCAATTGGGCTATAACCAGAGACACAGAAAGCGCAATTATGCCAATTCCAATGGTCGTTCTCAAACTTTTAACACATCGGAAAATCACCAAAGTTATAACGAGAAAGATAACAGAAATGCAGGTACAAACTCCGGAAACTATCCCAAGAGTTGAATATCTTGGCGTTATAGACACAGTAGGAGGTTCAGTGTCGCAGTTTAACATATCAAGCTGTGAATGTAAGTAATCATCCACACAAACCAAATACCCAGACTCTTCATCATCAGATACATCTTGAAATGCTTCAATTGTTTCGTTTGTTGCTAGAATTAACAGAGAGTCATTTGTGGGTGAAACCACAACTTCATCCTCATTCAAGATTATTTTAGGGCACAAAAATGTTTTGGTAAGGATAAGTGAAGTTGTTTGGGATTTCATGTTTCGATCGAAGGTGAAATTATATTGAGTAATAAGGATATTGGCTGTTAGATATTTAGAACATGGAACAGTTAAATCATTATTTATGTATAGCGCTCCTGATACACGTTTGCATTTATCAGTCAAATATATCTCTATTCCCGGATAATCAACAGTCAAATTTAGTTTGTTTTCAGTCATTAATAAAATCGCTTTTTCAAATACGTCAATGTTTATTGGGTTTCGAAAATAAAGCGTGCATTTCATAAGAAATTTCAAAGTTATATTAGGTCCGCATTCTGATAAATAATCAGTATACAAATTACAATCAAAGGTAGCGTCTAATGATGCCATATTCTGGACAAACTTTTCGAGGAATGTATCATTAGGAGAATTTACACTAGAGTTAAAGTTAAGTTGAACATGAAAACAAACGTTATATCTATAAGTATTGGTCAGTTTAAACACAGACACACATTGACCATCTTCGAACTTCTTTCCTTCAACACAACTTATATTTCTGCACTGACACTGTAATAAGAATATTATCATTAACTGCACAATTTCAACTGTCCTTGTTCCTTAGTGGACACACAGAACAATATATGGTCGCGTATACGTATATTATGAAAATTTCTTTAATATATTAAATCAAACACATTGAAAAAAATAATATCAATCAAGCCTATGATAGCTAACTGTCATTGTTGGAGAAAGGTTTACATACTTGAAAAGTGGTTTGCACTAGTGGCGGAGCCAAAGGGAGGTCATTTTCTTGAGAGAACCCTCTAAGACGCTAAGGTTTGCGACTATGACACCACCAAAGAGTAGTCCCCTCCCCCCCCCCCCCCCACACAACCATTGAGTCAGTCTGCCCCCTATTTGTACCCCCAGTCTCAGAAGGCTGGCGCCGCCACTGGTCTCATTTGATTACTTGTCATAAAAGAACTTACTGTGTATGGATCTGTGAATGGACATGATTTCATGCTGTTGACTTTATCATCTTCATAATCGTCCGAGCCATCAAGATCTAATAAAGCCGAGAGAGCAAGGCGAAATACATTGGAATCATGTCCTACAATATTATCTTTGATTTCTTCCCATGTTAAAAAAGAGTTACAAATATAACAGAAGACATTTGGATAAAAGCGAACAATGTTTTCTTGGAATGTTAAACAACCTTTCTCAACTAAGGGATCTTCAATCGATGACATTCCCGTCGAATTGCACTGCCTAGGAAGAATATAATCGTTTGTTGAACAGGGTCGATAAGATATGTTGTCAGGTTTTACAAAAACTACATTACAATCTTCAGTGGTAAGAATACTAATATAAACTTGCTGTTTGCTGTCTAACACATCTAGTTCTGGAGTGACACCATCACATTTAGCACCAATTTCCCATGGTACAACTCGAGAACCACGAACACCATTACAGCTAGCACAATACCGGTTTTTGTACGTTAAACCTGTATCTTGGTCCGAAACCGGTTGTATTGATTTCCAATTGTACACAAATGTTTTTTTGCATCTTTCAACCATTCTGTTATCTTCATGATTTTCAGGGCAGAACCCAACAATTTTGAAGTACTTGCCTCGAAAAGGAAATTGTGTCGGGAGACAACTGTGGGGCATCAATTTTGATTGGTTGATGTAAGGATAATCTGGACAACAATCTCCATAGTAACTACAGGTTGAATCACAAAAGCAATATTTACAATATTTGTTGTTCATGGTGATGTCCACTTGCTGACAAGACTGTTGACAATATAGTTTGTAGATATAATTAGCTTGCGACAGAAAATCGTCATGAAATATTGCAGCTTCTTCAAACGGTAACGAATATTCTATACTATCTGATACATTTCCTCTATAAAAAGCGTCTGTTGTAGCCTGGCGAGTAGCTATAAACCAGATCATAATCACCAAACTCACAACCATCATAATGATACAAGGCTCAAATCGTTGAAATCAAGGTCTGCTGAATTTTGCTCAGATTTTATAGCTTTCTGTTGAATCCAGATAATGGATGTTTTAATGAGAGTAATACATATATTTTGAATAACTAAGACAATAAGTATCATATAAAAGTCAGACTCATTTGTAAACTTTGAAAGGATTGGCTACTTTATTAACAACTGTCATCTGATCTTTAACATTTAAACGTATTATAAACTACAGTTTTGTATATCAAATTTCTACATGTTTAGTAGATTTACGTTTTTAAGTTTGATACTTCAACAATGGTGTTTTCAATTTAAGACATTAATTTGATTTGTTGAAAGACTTTTTCTAAACTTTTTATATTTAATGTTGGATTTCGACAAAGAAATTACCTCCCTTGATAATGACTAAAGAAAAATTCAGTTAACGATTTTGAAATATTATCTCCCTCTGAAAAAGTGAAAGACATTAATGCACCTTTTCAAGTATCGAAGACTAGTTTCAGTTTGATGGACTAATGGCGGCAAAGATTTTTGATTCAACTAGCTACACTGATACATCATATTATTGGAATATTTTAACATAGTGATATACCATGATTAAAAAAAACCAAGAAAAATTGCAATCCTATATTTGACATTAATGGTGGCTCTCCATGTTCAAATCACAATATTTAATAAACTTCTGCTCCAAACGGTAAAAGAAAATATGTATATGTAAACCCGTAACCACCACAGGAAAAATAGCTCAAATTGAAATTAGCACTAATAGGAAGACACCGCTAGTTAGACACGTATATCGTATATGATAATAATAATCAATTAATTGAATGAAGAGATTAAATATGGTTAATAGTTCTAGAAGCTTCGGTTAACTAATGATGATAGGAAAAATAATTTCTATATTATAACAGGGGATTTGATATAAGCTCATGATGGTTTGTTTACAACAATATGATAAATAATAAAATAAACAGGTATTACAATGGAATTAGTACTGGGTATTATATTGATACACGATACCCATTCATTTCTGTTCACATTAATCAGCTATATCAATATATTGCATGGTAGCCTAGTATTTAAAGGACGCTCTCTCAAAATATCATAAATATGATAACAAAAACGCCCATGAATTATTCTTTTTCGTGGATATAATACGTACTATCATGTCCGAGAAACAACCAAACCCATATTAAGGTGCATAGATGAGATGAGATTTACCCATTTAGTTTTATTATAGGAAGAATTATAACTTCTTGTTGTGTAATGACTCGTAAAGTATCCCGAAAACCTCTTGTACCATTTACAGGCTTTAACAGAGGATTCTGCCACCGAAAGAGGGTCAAAAAGAAGTTACTTTATGGAAAGATAGTGCAAGAAGATTGTCAAAAACACAATAGAAATTAAACTTTTAGAAAATTCATATGCTGTTATATTCTCGAAAGGCAAGACGGGTGTCAATCGATAGGTATTTTCTCGAGATAAGGAATAAAAAGGTTTTGGGGGTATAGATACAACGGTTAAGGATTGAGAGGTTTCAAAGCACGAAAGGTGTGGCGTCTTTCACCAAAACGGTACATTTCTTTCGGACTCTTCAAAAGAACAAACCATCAAAATAATTTCAGATCTTGCAGATAGTATTAACAGTTTCTCGGACTACCCATAATATAATGCAGTTTAATGATTAGTCAGTCACTGTGACTTGCATGCACCGCTAATGGAGCTTAAAATTAGTCATAAATAAAATACAATGTTCCCGAATAGGATGATCAAGATGCTAGTGGGTATGCATAATCATTCAAACATATTAGTCTTACACATGACTGAGTAACAGATAAAATATAATTTGTTTAAATGTAAGATGTAGATCCGCCCTGTATGTTATCAGCAAGGTTTTTTTTTCACCCATGCCATATCTTAAGCTAATTGAAGGGAGTTCGAAATGGTAAGTGTTGTATAAGACAAACAACTTTACGTGAGCTCTTATCTACTTTTATTAGTAGTCGCCATAAACTTTATCTTCGCTTTGTTGTAGTCATACTTGGCATGTCCTTTACGTCATCACCATCATCCTTGAGACGTAGAAGACTTTAAACTTCCTCTTTTTTTATCTGAGCTTCTAGTAGTCTTCATCACTCACCACCATTGTAGTGTAGTAGTAGTCAGCAACATTATCATTATGTAGAAGACTCCGTTATCTTTGTATTAGCCTTTATCAACATCATCCTTGTCTTATAGTAGTTTTCATCAACATCATACGCGTCTTGAAGTAGTCTTCATCAACATCTTCATCGTCTTGTAGTAGTCTTCATCAACATCTTCCTCGTCTTGAAGTAGTCTTCATCAACATCATCATCGTCTTGAAGTAGTCTTCATCAACAACATCCTCGTCTTGTAGCAGTCTTCATCAACATCTTCATCGTCTTGTAGTAGTCTTCATCAACATCTTCCTCGTCTTGTAGCAGTCTTCATCAACATCTTCCTCGTCTTGAAGTAGTCTTCATCAACATCTTCCTCGTCTTGTAGCAGTCTTCATCAACACCATCATCGTCTTGAAGTAGTCTTCATCAACATCTTCCTCGTCTTGAAGTAGTCTTCATCAACATCTTCCTCGTCTTGAAGTAGTCTTCATCAACATCTTCATCGTCTTGTAGTAGTCTTCATCAACATCTTCCTCGTCTTGAAGTAGTCTTCATCAACATCTTCCTCGTCTTGAAGTAGTCTTCATCAACATCATCATCGTCTTGAAGTAGTCTTCATCAACATCTTCCTCGTCTTGTAGCAGTCTTCATCAACATCTTCCTCGTCTTGAAGTAGTCTTCATCAACATCCTCGTCTTGAAGTAGTCTTCATCAACAACATCATCGTCTTGTAGTAACATCTTCATCGTCTTGTTGTATCATCTTCCTCGTCTTGTAGTAGTCTTCATCAACATCTTCCTCGTCTTGTGGTAACATCTTCCTCGTCTTGTAGTAACATCTTCCTCGTCTTATGGTAGTCTCCATCATCAACATCTTCCTCGTCTTGTAGTAACATCTTCCTCGTCTTGTAGTACTCTTCATCATCAACATCTTCCTCGTCTTGTAGTAACATCTTCCTGGTCTTGTAGTAGTCTTCATCAACATCTTCCTCGTCTTGTAGTAACATCTTCCTCGCCTTGTAGTAACATCTTCCTCGTCTTGTGGTAGTCTCCATCATCAACATCTTCCTCATCTTGCAGTAGTCTTCATCAACATCATCACCGTCTTGTAGTAACATCTTCCCCGTCTTGTAGTAACATCTTCCTCGTCTTGTAGTACTCTTCATCATCATCTTCCTCGTCTTGTAGTAACATTTTCCTCGTCCTGTAGTACTCTTCATCATCAACATCTTCCTCGTCTTGTAGTAACATCTTCCTGGTCTTGTAGTAGTCTTCATCAACATCTTCCTCGTCTTGTGGTAACATCTTCCTCATCTTGTAGTAACATCTTCCTCGTCTTGTAGTAGTCTCTATCATCAACATCTTCCTCGTCTTGCAGTAGTCTTCATCAACATCTTCCTCGTCTTGTAGTAACATCTTCCTCGTCTTCATCATCAACATCATCCTCGTCTTGTAGTAGTCTTCATCATCAACATCTTCCTCGTCTTGTGGTAACATCTTCCTCGTCTTGTAGTAACATCTTCCTCGTCTTGTAGTAGTCTCCATCATCAACATCTTCATCGTCTTGTAGTAACATCTTTCTCGTCTTGTAGTACTCTTCATCATCAACATCTTTCTCGTCTTGTAGTAACATCTTCCTGGTCTTGTAGTAGTCTTCATCAACATCTTCCTCGTCTTGTGGTAACATCTTCCTCGTCTTGTAAAACATCTTCCTCGTCTTGTAGTAGTCTCCATCATCAACATCTTCCTCGTCTTGTAGTAACATCGTCCTGGTCTTGTAGTACTCTTCATCATCAACATCTTCCTCGTCTTGTAGTAACATCTTCCTGGTCTTGTAGTACTCGTCATCATCAACATCTTCCTCGTCTTGTAGTAACATCTTCCTCGTCTTGTAGTACTCGTCATCATCAACATCTTCCTCGTCTTGTATTAACATCTTCCTGGTCTTGTAGTTGTAGTAGACTTCATCAACATCTTCCTCGTCTTGTAGTAACATCTTCCTCGTCTTGTAGTAACATCTTCCTCGTCTTGTAGTAGTCTCCATCATCAACATCTTCCCCGTCTTGCAGTAGTCTTCATCAACATCTTCACCGTCTTGTAGTAACATCTTCCCCGTCTTGTAGTAACATCTTCCTCGTCTTGTAGTACTCTTCATCATCATCTTCCTCGTCTTGTAGTAACATTTTCCTCGTCCTGTAGTACTCTTCATCATCAACATCTTCCTCGTCTTGTAGTAACATCTTCCTGGTCTTATAGTAGTCTTCATCAACATCTTCCTCGTCTTGTGGATCAACATCTTCCTCATCTTGTAGTAACATCTTCCTCGTCCTGTAGTAACATCTTCCTCGTCCTGTAGTAACATCTTCCTCGTCTTGTAGTAGTCTTCATCAACATCTGAATTTGGTAATTGCAATTGTGATTGACGTCGTCATCATACTAATATTATTTTGTATAAGTATGCACACATCTTACATAAATATATATGCTATAATATATACATTTAAACTTCAAGTCTCAAATCGAACTACATTTAGATAGTGATTGTAAATAGCATACATGCGAGAATATTTATTTTCCAATAAATCAACATCAAATGGTGTATTATATTTAAATTTTAAGTCTATTTAAAAAGTAAGATGAGGAGACTTCTAAAATTATACGTATCTACGAATATGATATTATTTATGAAAGGGATTTTCTGAACCATTGAAAGATCGGAATGTATGTTTGCACGGCTGAGTTACTCTATTGGAAAAAACCTGTATCCTGTTTAACGTTCAAAGTATATAGTGGATTGGGTTGGGTTTGATCAGGACGTGTCTCGCTCTACAATTATAGATAGATATGGGCGAAGTGACGACTATGAGCAATGGTCATCCTGCCCGTTCCCAACAGGGACGGGGGATATCATCGGGGGACAAGTGGAAAGAAATACAAACCAATACTTTTGTCAACTGGGCTAATATACATATGCAAGATAGAAATTTGGGAATAGAAAATTTAGAAGAGGATATGAAAGATGGTGTTCGACTTTGTGCTCTTGTGGAAGTTTTACAAAATAAGAAGATAGTTGGGAAAGTTGTCCAGAACCCGAAGAATAGTCACCAATCTTTACAAAATGCCACTGTGGCGTTGACCGCTGTTGCCAATGATAATGTAAAGCTCGTCAATATAGGTAAGTGGTATATTTGTTTGGCTATTGACATGTTGAAGTACATATTATAATAATGGGTCTTATCTTTCATTCAAAACTTCCTCGTTCTTACATAAATACACATATCAATAGAATAGCCTAGATCTATATATGGCTCATTCATATCTTTCAATTTTGACTTGTAATTATGTACAACCATATTTTAAGTAATTTCTTTACCGATACGAACTATTCTAGGGTCAATAAGTCAAATTTAACATATATGAAGAAATATAATATAAGGGGTCTTAAGAGAATTTTTTCTTTCATTTCTGAGTGGTAAATGCGTTGCAATAGAATCAATTACTAAAAGACAGGACGCACTCTCTTTCAATGACATTCACCAATGACGTAATTAAACGATCAATAACCAGCTTCTTATAGATAGATATAACATTAATATCAACGTTTTAAAAATACTAAATACATGCGTAATCTGTATCAAAACCACAGACCAGAACTCATTTATGAATAAATTGGACGTCCTTTTATTGTACGTCACCTATAAGGTGTGTCCTATAAAGTAAATATCATCATGATAAAAATGTATAATATTCACATCCTCGATGTTTCAACTGGCTGGCATCTCCAGTATACACTATCTAAATCTGAAATTGGAAACATTTGACAGCACCGAAAGCAAGTTTTTTCGGGCAAAAATTTCATAACTAGGTTAGAAATTTGGACTATCCCAGATATTTTGCCCCTCCCCGGACGTAAACCTGGCTCCGCCACTGGTACTAGAAATATACGAAAATCGCATAATTCCTTTAAAAATATTACAAACTAGGGATTTTATTCACTATTTCTATCTATATCCATTCTATAGCCTATATCACAGAGTATCTAAAAATGACGAGTCGTCATTTCAACATTCAAACGCGGATAATTCTTGACTTTCATGGATTTGAAGACTCAAATATCGACGGTGAGCTATGAACACTATTACTGATTGGCTTAGCTGAAAAATGGCGCACCTGTCCCTTTAAAGAACTCCAAGAATTTCCAAATGATCATACTGAATGTTCCAAGCATATTGGATTAGATCTCTGGAACCATTGCAGTAAGTGTGTCATAATTTCAGTCTTTTCACAATTATTATTGTGATGATATCGTCTATTTGTTTAGATTCAGTAAAGTAAATCATTTATCAAATTTTTAATCTTTATTACTTTAAGTGATAATATATGTAAAACTTATGTCTTTTTTGTGATGTCAGATTATTTCAAGTTACCACTAATTTCAAAAAAATTTAGAATCCCTTAATGCATCAATATTAGGCTATTTGACTTTTGAGTGACTTTTGTCATGATCAGATCTTATAATAAAATGTACCTATATAATTCGTGGTTTGCGCATTGTAGCGACTCTTATTGAAAGCTTGGTTGTACTACCACATCAACCCCAATCAAAATCAACATGACTGCCCTGGGTACATAAAGCAGCAGGGCATATTAATGTCCCTTTATGACAAAATGACCAGTTTGGTTTCACTCACTTGCCTTCATCCTTCATTCATGGTTGGGAAACAATCTCTGTGTGTCTTTACGTACTAACTTATTGTAACATATCATTGTTTTAAGTCTCCCAATCCAATATATAAATTGCCCTATATTTTAATGGGCATCATTTGGCCAGGACGATAGGTCTTGTAGCGGGAAATGATAAAGGGACGTAAGCATGTTATTCAACTTCTGGGTAAGACAACAATAATCTTAAAGAACAACTATAACTAATCATTAAATTAAATCTCACAGATTTATATCTAATAATATAGTGAATCAATGAGTCACGGACAAAATTCCACAACAATGGGTAACCTTAAGTTTTTAGATAGGCCTACTCAGTGAGAAACATGACTAAAAGTGAGGGTCAATTCATATAATTATTAAATGAAAGGACAATTTGACAGATTTGCTCTAACTTTATGCATAGGTAACTTGATAAAGAGGAAAGTTGTCGTGGATCTAAATATAGGTACTGACTTTGATCCAGGTACCATTCCTTGAGTCCTGGTTATTTTGTCAATGTCATCAGAAGTCAATCAGATCAATTGGTTAATGCCATTTCAGTTTTCAGACCAATTTATTGAATTATCACCGACTTGACCAAATGTTGTGGTCTGCCCTCAGTGTCAATTGCACTCAGACCCAAATCTTTATTGACGTTAATTAGTTAAATTTAATTAATACTGAATGCATTTAAATACTTCAATTAGGCCTATAGTAGATTTATTGTTATAGTAAACACCTGTTTCACTGTTCGATAAAATCAATACAATATAAGTTTAGAATGCAATGATATATAATTTTACAGTTATATCTATAACAAGTCGCCATAGGTCTGTTATAAGACATGCCTGTTCTCTTGATGTATGAGAATAGTGCTAGGTGATGTAAAAATGTGGTCAGTGTTGTTGTGATATATGATTGATAGCTGCTCGACTGGCCAGTGTCTATTGTTGTCAACTATAACAGTATAAGTTAACTGTCAATATAATTTACCTGTATGTGTTATATATAGTTCACAGGTAAACCGGTTTTATATGACGAACGACCAGAGAAGGATAAATGCATGGCGTTTCGTCTTGTATACTCATTGAAAGTATCGCTATTTCAACCAACACCCAAAGGATAAGGTTTTCTTTTATGTTTCGAGTGGATGATTTCATTGAAGGGCCACCTTGTACTACGGGTGACGACCGCGACAACAGTTATTTTACACACAGGATTGAACTTAGGGTTCAAGGAGTAGTCGTTTTGCTTTATTGATTCTTTTAATGTTTTAATCGTGTTACATACCGTGAAATTTTCACTGTTAAGAATCACTGTTATCTATTAGTTTAATTGAGATTGAGAATGAGTGAGGTACAGGTTGATGTTGTTGGTCATCAGGCCAGATCTAAAGAAGGTAGAGGAATCTCTGTCAGAAGTGGGGATAGTGATAAATGGATTATTATTCAAAAAACAACATTTACTAATTGGGTGAATGTTCAACTTCAACCAAGGAATTTAGAAGTCAGGGATTTGCAGGATGATTTCTGTGATGGTGTTAAATTATGTGCTCTGGTGGAAGCATTACAGCAGAAGAAAATAGGTCGAGTTGTTGCCAAACCTATCAACCAACATCAGAGTATTCAAAATGTTACTGTAGCATTAACAGCTATTGCTAATGATAATGTTAGACTTGTCAATATAGGTAAGTCTGGGCTCTTAAAAATGGGGTGTGGGGTTTGCAGAGAAATTAACAGCCTAACAGCTTTTTTTCTCTGCAAAAAAAAAATATTTGTGATAAAAACCCTTAAGAAAATCTTCCAAATTAAGTCTAAAGTAAGACAATCAGTGTATGATTAAATTACTGCATAACAGACATTGTTATAGTCTAATTAATTATGTATAGTCACAATCTGTCCTGTTAATACTATATTTAGTCAAGGTGTGTCAACTGTTAGCAATGAACAACTCTACATCAGAATGCACACCTACAGCTTAATACAATGTTGTTTATAATTTGGTGAAAGCAAAAAATATCAGAGAAATGTGTAATAAAGGGACTAGTCTAAAAGTTAATAAGTTCCCATTCAGTATTAGCCTTTACACAGAAATCACTGCTCTATTTGTCATATATTAGGTGTGTGAGGGTAGGTCTAGACAAACTGTTCAATGATTGTGCAATAGGTCTGTTTACCCAAATTTTCAGATGATTTCAATGTATGTTTTAGTCTGGATCTCTAACGTATCAATTGTGGTTTTTAATTTTGTGGATATTCTTGAAAGAAATTGTTTTTAACCTGAAAGATTGCATTAAAGTATCAAATTTTGGTCAGGAAAATTGCAAATGACTCTGGGGTTACTCATAGCAAACAATAACATTGTCTTAGCTAAGATATTTCAATGATCAAAATTATTGAAGTTATTATCAAAGTCTATCACATTTCCAGCTTATTTGTTTTCTAGGAGGAAAGATCTACAACCTTTTCTTGAAACATATTTTGAAGCTATATATATATAGTATATATATTGTATTGATATAAATATGAACTATACAGATTGTTATGAAACATCTGGGAAAATATTGATTTGAATTTTATATTCTAACAAATTAGTCAATTAGTCAGTCATCTATCTTATACTATCATATCTACATTCATTATATTACTTTCATAAAATAATGATGTATGTACAGTTGATTTAGCTTGTAATTATTCTAATACCCACACTGACTTCAAAATTTCTTCAACAGAAGCTTGTATTTCTAAATCGAAGCCCTAAATAACCCAAACGAAAGAATTATAATGGGTGAGCAGGAAATTCTTTGAAGATGTTGGTGCATCCTGAAGGTTATTACAAGGTCGCTGTTGTGTTTATGTATAAATTTGGACTATCCTACAGAATAGTTACTTTACATCTTGTTTTTGTCACTTAGATCTCAAGGATTTTGTTTATGTGGAAGAAGTTAGTATCGAGCAGTGACTTTCATTGAGTCTAATCAACAGTATTTCAATAATTAGCAAAGAAATCCATCATATGTTGGACTGAAAAACATACTAGACTCTATCCTACTATAATGAGTAGTAGGTAATGATATTTTTATAGTAGTCCTAGAATTGTATATTGAATACCTGTACTATTATATTACAATATTACTATTGTTACCTTTATATTGAAGAGTCGTGTCCAATAAAATGAAGTTTCATTTTGTGAATTATTATTAAAAATACTAAAGTTACATATATTATGTAACATAATTATATGTATATATATATATGTGAAGCAATGGCACCTTAAACTGAAAATACTTAGAGAAAATACCTGAATACACCCTTTGAATTAACTTAGTGTGCAAAAACTTAGGTGGACATTTCTTTTGAGTGAGGTGATGTGGTAAATTGATTGAAGTTATATCTTGATAAAAATATATTTTCATTTAACAGCTTGATTTAGATTACACTCTGTTGTATTGAACAGAAGAAAATAGTATGAAATGAAATTACAGAGTATTTAAAGGATTATCTCAGTCAAGTTTCAGATTAACAAACACTGATTTAAAAATGTAATAATGATGTTCATGACTCTCATTCATCATATTACATTGTTTCAGTATTATAGTAGAATGATTTATTATCTCGCTGTTTTATTGTGTTTTAATATTAACACTGTAGACAGGTACAGCTGCTTATATGAATGATATACTATGACATAAGAAAAATTATGATAAAAGTGCATGTATGCCAATCTGAGAGTGAATATTTTGAAATAAGTGATACAGTTCTTATCAATGATATATGATTAATTATTTTGGAGTATTTCAAACATGGAGAGTGCTGTAAAAGTCTTTACAAGAGGAAGCTTCTTTTAATACGATAATATTTAATAGGAATTGTTATGTTATAGAATCAGACAGGTCAAATGTTGTAAGAGAAACCAATGTTACAGAATATGTTGAACTGTCCTAATAATAAAGGCACTTTTCTATATCTCATTAGGATAATAATATTAAAAACATCAGAATATAATCCATTATCTGATTTATAATTTATATGTTTAGAGTCAGTGTTTGATATAATAATTCCTGGATTATCTCTTAAGAATTGTACTAAATTTTCAGAGCATTGAATTGGTTAAATTCCATGGAAATTACTTTATTGTTTGTCCTTCAGACCCCAGCATTAGTGATGTAGCTGTTAGAAAGAGAAATGATATTTATATGAAGGGCTGTTTTTAAATAATATGTATTACAATACTTGAGTTAAAGCCTGCTTCTCTTTCTGGACTGAAACCTTTGGATCATAACTTCTTGTCAAAAATCTTCAATAATCTTACCTAAAACTAAATTTATAAAGTGTTAATTTGGGGAGAGTTTGTAGGGTAAGTCTACCTCTGACATTTACCTGTGTAAAGTTTTGTTGACAAAATGACGACATGCCATTCTAATGACATTTAGGTCTTCAACAAACACTGATAGTGTGGTTTTCTTTACATTTGAATAACAGAGTATTTCTTAAACATTTGACAAACATTTTATCATCGAAGACTCAATTTAAAACTTTTAAATTCATTTTTTGAGAAGTAGATTTTAAAATAATTCAAATTATTGATGATGTTCAAAGTTGAAAGCTAATATCCATGGTTGTTTTTCTATTTGGTTTCAATAATGCCTACATCAGTAGCTATAGTAATGTCAATACCAGATTATGTCCAACTCTGAAATAATGTTTCTTACATACAGTTTTGGAATAAGGCATCGTGGATCCATTTTGCGTACTGAAGATAATCTGACTAAGAAAGCTGGAGTCAGTTCTGACCTGCATTCAGATATGAAGTTCAGAAAAGCACTTCTTTCATTCATGTTTAAACAATAGATGTTAAAAGTATTAAATGACATAATAAACTTGTAGATATATTTATATTTCAATATTTTTACTACATTATAATGAAAATAAACTCAAACATTTCAATTTCTTTTTATTTTTGTAAGTTAATGTTTTGTTACTGTTTTGTGTCAGCTTGTCCACAAAAAAATGAAAACTACATTTTTAATGAGTTGACAAGTAAACTATGTAACAAGTGCTAATTTCACATCATTTCACTGGTAAGGTTTGGGATCACTGTTGGTAATTGAAAGTGTGATCATTGTCTAAACAGTAGTGTCATTCCAAATTACTCTTCAGCATTTGTTGAAGTTTAAGTGTATAAGGAAAATCCAGGTATTTCGTTGAGTACCATCTGGTATCCATTGACCGTGTGCTGTTTTCATTGTATCAAGTCCATGTTCTATAAATCTAATGTCTCCCTACTTTATTTGTTCATACTTCAAATCCACATAAAAATAATACATGTATATAGAATTTGATGTACTAACTAGATGAAGAAGACATTCAGTTATAGTAACACATTTGCAGGCTGTTAGGATGTTGAAAAAAGTCAAATATAAAGTTGCCCCACCCAACACAACATAAACATCTTTTATGAATAAATAAATAAATAGTTAAATAATGGTATAATATGCTCCAGAAGAGAAATCACAAGAGATTAACTGCTCTCCCCTTTCTTTATTTGTAGCAAACATAGCATAAATAACTATTCTGGCAGCATTTCATGATTCATTTAAGTCCAATTGGAAAAGATGTGATTGTGAAGAAACAAACGAACAATGAATAGTCAAAAAATAGTAAAATATATGGTAACAAAGATCTTACAAAATTTTAATATTTACTATTGTTATTAGTTGTATAAATTATAGACATATTGTATAGGTATAAGAAGAGATAGTTAGTTTATCAATATTAATAGTAATAACAGTAGTAATTATTGAATGTATTAATTATTTATTATATACTTTAATTAACCATATGTTAGCTTTTATTACCCCCTGAATCTAGGTAAATATAGAAAAATATACATCTTGATCTGTTTTACATTACTGTTTTATATCAGACATTTTATCTAACAGATATGACCCTGAACCAGCTTGTCTTAAGGATCTTCAACAGACCAAATACAAGTGATAAGGACCCATAATAAACATTTTAAGAATCTATTCATGTTCCTGTCCTTGAGGAAAGAAAACATTTTCTCATTTTCGATGAACCCTCATAATAAAAGGTTTTGTTTTTTTGATAAGGTTAAGATTATAATTCAGTCAATAAGTGTCCATCACTATATGGGGTTAATTTTCTAGCAGAGGGTGAGGCTTGTTTTTCTCTCAAAATGATTGCTTTTTATGATTTATTTGATAGAGAATGAATATTGACAATAAGATGGGTGGTTATACTCAAATATTGTTAGCCTTCACATTTCAATAACCATCTAAATATTCTATACTTTTAATGTAATTACTGGTGCAAGTCCATAAAAATATCCCCTTGCCTAAAAAACAATGGAGTAATTTATTTAGATGAAGTATTATTGAGAACTAATGCCAAGTATATACATCCTTAATCAATTTATTAGATGATGAATATCAATTTCAGCTATCCATAGCACTCTTCAGATTTAATATTTTAATGTTGTATTATTGAAATATACTGTGAAAATCAAGCATGTTATCACTTTCAATTTCTGATGCAGATTTTACCTCTGTCATGATGCCATCTGTTCAAGCGGTGTGTGAGAATGCTAATAATGGCATGGAAGTAACAGTAGTCTGAACTTACAGGATATGTTTATGTTAGCTTGCAGCAGATTTTACTTTATAATAATAATAATAATAACTTTATGTTGGCAACCCTTTTAGACAGAAGTTTAATTTTTAATAGGTCCCACCAAACGACAAATTATATACAAAGTCACATATATATATATACATTTACAATGCCTCATGGATGTGGTGAAAAATATATAAATGTAAACACTGTGTTTTATAAGATTATAAGGTGATATAATTGATTATTCTAAGTAAAATGATATGGTGATAAAAACAAAAGGAATGGTTATAAATGCTATGCAAATAATTAATAATTATTGTCAAACAAACTTCCTCAGTTCTTGTTTAAATGTATATAGAGAAGGATTATCTTTTACTGTTTGTGGTAAAGTATTCCAAAGCTGAAAAGTGTTAAAGATAGCTGAAATATATGCCTTAATAAAATCATATTAATGATGTCTATTATAAATTGTCTGCAAATGATTCAACAGGTTATATCAGTGTCAGTGGTGTTTCTTTTCATCTCATCTTAGTTCAGTTGGCTATAAAACAGTATATATGCAGTCAAGTTGACACTTAGTTTGCGATATCAGCATCCTCTGGAAGCGAAAGTTAACTTGTCATCTACCAACCAACCATCTGCATGGACACTATGATTATCAATGTCCATTAACAATATAGTAGTCATCATCCATCAATCATAGCTAACAGAATACCTACAGACTTGAACCCTGTGTAACAATTCATTGTTTGGTGTTTTATTATTAACTTCAACCACTAATCATTGTACATGGTCCAGATATCTCTTATTGTTCACAGTGTTTAATAGCTAGTTCATTCTCCAAGTCTGTTTGTTTATTAAGTGCATCAGGTTGTTGTCTGGTGTTTATTATTGTTGTTGACAAAGGGAGATTGAAGATTTATTTGTAAACAATGTTTGAGATAGTGTCATGTTGACTGTGGGGTTAACTTCTAAAGCGTTTGATCAGAGATTTGACTTCTCGTAAAATCCTTTTAATGTTGATTTTGTCAAGGTTTTATTCAGTGGTAGAAATTTGATCATACTCATTTAAACACACTCATTTGCTAAATTGTGCCAAGTTTCAGAACTTTTTTCTTAACATTTCAGTGATTGCCAATCAGTTAACGGTAATTTCCTTGAGTGGCATTTAGTAACTGGGGTATGAATAACTGGACACAATTATATGGATAACAATTACTTTAATTAATAACTTGCAACATTTTGACGATGATGTCAAGCAAAGCAAAGCATCATTGTTGAAACGTTGCAAGTTATTTATTAAAGTAATTGTTATCCATATAATTGTGTCCAGTAAATCAGGGAAATTCTTGGTTTGATGATTTCAACATATTTGTCTAACGTTAAATCTTCATGTCTTGAAAGATTTTATTGCTCAATGTACCATGATTGACAGGAAATGATCAATGGTAGTTCACAAACATGATTTAAAGATCAGTGTTGTTTCTACAAAGGGCCCTTCCACAATGATTGATAGAAACACTACTGGTAAAGATTTGTATTAATGATGTGATGTTACCATTCTACAAGAATAACAAATATAATGTCAAATATAAAAACAGTTAAAAACAAGTTATAGATTTTAAAAATGGCATACAAGAAAAAAATAGTCTTACAATAATACTATTTACATTGAAATATTTGAATTGGGGTATTTTTACTAGAAAGTACTTTCGTCTGTGTATTGTAATGTTTGAACAGAGAAGAGTATACTTTTACTCTTATTGAATTTCAATTTGAGACTCACTTATAACACAATTTCTATGAAATATTTTTGCTTGGTTGGTTGAGTTAAGTGTGTTAAACTGGCTCTGGTTCTGTAACTGTTGATATATTTGCAATTCTGTGTATCTTATGTATAACTTTTTGTAAATTATAACAGAGACACTCATATAGAATTACTAAAAGCAAAATGCAGTTTGTGAAAGTATATTTCATGCAATAAATCTATACCTGAATTTGATATATTTTTGATATTTTCAGAATGTTCACCATGTCAGGTCATTTCTTCCACAGAAGGCAGTAAACTTACATCTATAGCTTTCTGAAATCCCTGCAATACTTTCTCCTTTGACCAGTCAGATGGCTTAAACATTTTATATGAGTTCTGTACCCATCAAGATCAGAGTTATCAGAAATGTTGCAATGTTACACAGTGAACAAGGTTCATGTTCACCTCTAGTTAACTGATATCACAGACTACAAAGTTTTTAAAAACCAATATCCTATTAACTAACAATAACACCACCAGGAGGTGTTAAAACAGATTTAACAGGGGGTTTAATAGTGTTCACACCATCAAAATACCTGTACATTGTCAAGCTTGGTGGTTGATTAAGTGAATACTGTTATATTATCTAAATTAACCTTGTGGATTAAGGTGAAGTAACATCTATTGACTGACATAGTGTACTATATGTCAAATAACACCATGAGTTTTATATTTCAGTATGTATTGTAACAGGTTGAAAATATAACATTATAATAATACATTTCATTATACTTACATACATTATTTTATATTAAGTTTTATTTGATAATAACCTTCTAAGTTTTCAGCTGCTGGTTTGATTTGGTAGTTGAAAATTAACTACTTTGACAAACTGCATGGGGAAAATATACAATACAATAAGATCCTTATGGAACTCAAAATTTTGACAATAGGCATGGGTATCTTCTAATCTTCTAAAGCTAAAGCTAAAATTCCCTTTCATTAATCCAAACAGATTCAGAATAAGCAACCTGTTCTTAATTTTGTGTTCTGTTGATTCAAAATATTTTGTATTGCTATGATGTTTTCTATAGAACAAATAGTCATATCAACGAGTTACTGAAGGGAAGACAAGACAAGATTGGCTATTGCTATAGTCAGTTTAATGCAGTTGGTATTCTATGCTCTGAATTGTTAATATTCTTGTCTTTGCAGGAAGTGAAGATATCGTCAATGGTAATCAAAAGTTAATTCTGGGATTAATATGGCATCTAATTTTACGATACCAGATAGGAAAGACCAAATTTCCACCCAAGAAGTTGATGTTAGCTTGGTTACAAGCTGTTATACCAGATTGTAATATCAGTAATTTTACGTCAGATTGGAATGATGGTGTTGCTTTACAGTAAGTTTGCCTTCATATTTTGGTACCTGGTAACTACAGTAATAATTGATGTTGCTAAACATAACTAACTTTATATATAACATATATAACTTTATTAAAAGATGATTTAAAACTAAAAACTCGTATAATAAAATTGTTTTTCTACAATCATCGATTGCATATCAAATGGTGTATATATATGTAACTTTTGATTTCAGTGCTTTATTGGAATATTGTAAACCAGGATTATGCCCTAACTGGAAACAACTTAGTAGACAAAATAGGTAAGTATATTTTTATCCTCCTTTGATAACAATGTCTTGAAAATTTTCAATATGAGTGTAGATTTTCAGAGTTCCAACTCTTAAGCTCTTGGAAAACTTTGTTCTGGAATTGTTTCAGACCTATCAACTCCTATGGTATATATTGAATTCCACCATAGCCTGTGTCCTTTGATTCTTAAAAGAACCAGTTCAATCATATTTTCTAGGACCAAACTCTAATCTGATAAGAAACCAATATAAATATATAATGTTGAAGGTTGAGATATCATTAATATTCAATCAGTAGTTATTGATTTTTATAGCACAACAACTTTTAATTAACTTTCTTTAAGATCTTTTACTTGTCATTTTTACCTTGTTTATAAAACTTGACAGCAACAGGTTTGTTTATTCAGCTGTACTTACCAGTCATGTGTGATTTTTGCTCAAAAGAATGCTTAGTTGTGATGTAATGATATTTTCCATTAAAGTTAACTATATTACTTCAAATGATAAAGATTTATCAGCTAGCAGCTCTTTTGAAATGAGAAAACTAGCTTTAAATTTTTGTGTAATTTTTTCTGGTACATTTTGCAAAGTTCATTTTTTTATTGACCTGTCATAAGTGACATTAGCAATGGTATTGCACAATATTTTGTCCTAAAACTGCAATGGATTATATTTGTGTTCTATGCCTCATAAAAGCAACATTGTGCAGTATATTATTAAAAGATAAAAGTTTGAAATAAATGAATAAGATAATAATGAGGTAATCCATAAGGCATTCATTCAAATTTTGTTAGCTCTGTTGGGCCAGGACAAGTATGATATTTTTGGGTGTTTTTAAAGTTATATTAAAAGGGTAAGGTCATGTAGAGTCTATATGAATCTTAACTTTCAGTATATAACTAATAAACTGGGTGTGACCAATTCTGATTAGATTTGAATATTATTGATAAAGCTTTCATGTAATTTTTATTATGTTAGCTAAATAAACTCTCTGCCCTCTCTATAACCAGTAAAAAATATCTTTATAATAAGTTTACCTATGTGTTATATACAGCTGAGATAATCAGGTATTGCACAACTTATTATAGTCATCTAAATATTTGCTTTACAAATTTTACAAACTGGCACGCTTCAACTATCTGTACCATTACAATGATTTATTAAAATCAAACAATGTGGTATTTTAAAACAATAAACAGCGTTAGAAACATTCTATTGATATTCGTGATACTAGTCTGAACATAAATTGTATCTCCTGAATGAACATAGTATTTCTAGAAATCCTTTTGTTACTGATGGATCAGGAATAAAAGTCCATGTGACCCCTGACCCAGAAAATAACAGGTTTTGTGTAATACTAGTAGACTAAGTCTAATACTATTGTAATGTTTTGTTCAAGCATGACTAAGATATAAAGATATAAAGGAAGTATCACATTTATTATTGTACTATATGTTTTTTATTATCTGAGAAATCTTGATCCCATTTCAACATTATAGTACAATCTTTATCTACATGTTACTATTTACTATCCAACTGTAGTAGGTTCGGTTTATAGAGATACTTTTGTCCTTCGAAGATAAATCAGATATTAGATCTTAAATAATAAATCAGATATTTGTCCTTAGATAATAAATAAAATATTTGTCCTTAGATAATAAATCAGATATTTGTCCTTAGATGATAAATCAGATATTTATCCTTAGATAATAAATCAGATATTTGTCCTTAGATGATAAATCAGATGTTTATCCTTAGATAATAAATCATATATTTGTCCTTAGATAATAAATCAGATATTTGTCCTTAGATGATAAATCAGATATTTATCCTTAGAAGATAATTCAGATATTTGTCCTTGGATTATAAATGGCTCTGGGAAAAAATCTTGATTGACCATAATTGAAGAAATTTAGAAAGTAAACTAGCTGTGAGTTTAGTGAAAGTGTGTCATTATTTATTTTAGAACTACCAGTCTGCTCTGACCAGTAAACCAATCCTAATAAGGCATGTTTAGCACTATCCTTGTGGCGTTCTGTTAAAATTTGGTTTGTGTAAATAGTCAACAGTTGAAATGGCCACTTAAAGATTTGTCATGTATCAAATAGTTCACATTGAAAAAGAAAAATAAGTCTGATACATATAGCTTTGCCTGCTGGTTTCAATGATGTTGTAAGAGAATTCACCTTTCCTCTATATCTAACTGCACATTTATATATTAAACGTAGGCTACCCCAGTTTTCATCACAAACTGTAGATATTGCTGTGTCAGGTTATAAGTTTATTTTGTAATCATCTGGATCAGAAAGTAAATAGTTGAATAGTTTACATTACCTGATATAGATGAAAAGGTTGTTTAAAATTGTTGATGTAATTACTGGAAACAAGATGTTTACTACGTGATTATTTTTAAAATCTTTTTTCTTTGAAATTCTTGAAACAATGACATTGCAAATTGTTGCCATCGTGATGGCTATGGACATTGTCAAAAATATTCATCAGCATTCTAAAAGACAATGTTTACAACAAAGAATTATTGCCCTAAATTCCTTCAAATTCTGATTGAATTATGTCTAATATTAAAGATTGTTGTTTTGATCATTCTAAAGTGCATTTAAACTTGCTGAAGGAAATAAATCCAGTATTTTAAAGTTTGATAATGTTGGTAAGAGGTAGTTATGGATTGAGTGTTATTTATCTCATAGCTGGAGGGCTAACCATAAAAACTACTGTCCTATTGTCATTTTCATTACAATCTTTATTACACCTCCAGTCTCCTCTAGTCTCTAGACTGCTTACATTTCAACTACTCGGGTATTATCTGGGTTTAAATAGTGTACACTATCTAAATTGTAGTCAACTCAAATTTTGACTATTGACCTACATTTATAAACCACACTTTCTAGAAAAAAAATCAAAAAGATTGTTAAAAACCCTCATTCTATATTTTCATTTTTAATAAATTTTAATACATGCCTCATCTTATTCTGGTAGTAATATTTTCATTATCTATTAATTGTGTATTTGCAGTTGGAATTGGACTGATTGATATGATAACACATTCAGCCGAATTGTTTCTTTTATGATAATTTCAGGTTAGAGAATTGTTCCAATGCTATGCATGTGGCTAAAAATGAGTTTAATATTCCTATTATTGTACGCCCAGAAGATTTCTCCAGTCCCCATTTAGATGATCTATCTGGTATGACGTATTTATCCTATTATATGACTGTAGATTCTCCTGGTTATCATGCTACATTAAGAGATGTTAGATCTTTATTAAAACATGGATCTATTAACAACTTTACGGTAAGATATTTCTACAGTGAATATTCAGATCATCAAAACAAATGACTTTAATATACGTAAACTCAATTCAATACCTATAATAAAATCATATCAAATATCAAGTTGTCTCTGGACATGCAGAATTGTTAATGCAATATCCTAATCTTCAAATTCTAGAGACTATCAGCATATAAATTGTACTTTATATACCTTTATGTAAACACAAAAAACTTTCCTTGCTGGCATTCCATGATTTCCCAGCTTGCCATGCAGAAATTCCATGATAAGTAGTTTCCTTTATTGGCATTCCATGATTTCAAGACTTGCCTTACTGACATTCCATGATTTCTCAGCTTCCCTTTTGACATTCCATGATTTCTCAGCTTCCCTTTTGACATTCCATGATTTCTCAGCTTCCCTTTTGACATTCCATGATTTCTCAGCTTCCCTTTTGACATTCCATGATTTCTCAGCTTTTTTTTATTGTCATTCCATGATATCTCAGCTTCTCTTCTTGACATTCCATGCTATACTTTAGACCTAAGAGTAACAATTGTCAGCTTTGTATATTTCTAATTATTGTACATGTATTGTATGTAATCTGTATTTGTAATCTTGATATTATAGACTGATTGGCATGATGGTAAATTATTATGTAATATAACTAAATCACTAGGGGTTGAACCTCAAGGCTGGCCAAATATGACATCAAATAATGTGGAAAACTTACAAGCAGGTTAGTGTTTTTATTTATTTCTCTCATTGTTCTGTTTACTTTCATTTTTTCCAAATCATTTCCAAACATTTCAAGTTTGTGTTTCTTTAGTTCTACTTAAACTTATGTTTGATTTTGAATTGATTTAAACTTTATCAATACTTGCACTTCTTTAAAAGGTAATAGGATTAATTATGTGGCTGGTTTCTCTTGTTTCACAATTGATATCCTGTCCTGTTCAACAGAACACTTCAATAATGTCTTGTTTGTCATGAAAATTTCATTTGGGGTAAAAAAAATTATCATTTGGTTATTGAAGCAACTGAGGCCTAGTTAAGTGAAATGAAGAGGAAATAAACTTAGTGTTTCTTCCTCCCTACACCAATTTCACTTATAATTTTGTAATAAAATAATAAACTCCCCTAATATTGAATTGCACTACATTTTAGCAGGTAAATTCTAGACTTTCTTACTTCATGATAAGTAAACCATTTAGTCAATTGACGCATGTTCAATACACAAACTCTTCTATAAAGGAAAATATATTTAGTAGGATGTAGAACTGTTTTTTTGTTTCATTTTGGTATTTTTAAGGAATTTCTTCTTTCTACAAGGACTGACTGAAAAGTTTTGAGCTAATAATGGGTTGTGACTTTTATGAATTTTATAACTAAGTAACTATTTTCTACAGAAGGCTCAAAACTTTTTAGTCGGCCTTCAAGTTTCTTTTTCTTCTCCTATGATTTTGAAAAAAATCTGATCATGCTTTCACTGTTTCTGCTGGGAATTGAAACTTTGGATATCTTTTTGAGAAACATTTTGTAATAAATCTGAAAATGTAAAATATATAAACCATTCAATCCAAGGATTTAAAGCATGATAAATTAATAACATGAAGACATTGTATAGAGCATGAGAAATTATATTAAAATATTTTACAGTAGTTTTAGTAGACAAGTACTAAAATTATGTATGGAATTATATATTGATACTATTTTGGATTGACTGTTCTTATGAAAGGTGTTGGACTCAGACTGTTATCTTCAATATTTCCTTCTCTCCTCTCATTCTTTATCTTGTGTTTAGGGTTTTTGTTCTTCCGAATTTTCTGAAAAATCTGCTGAAAGTGTTCAGAATTCTAGTCCCCACAAAATTATCATCTGAAATTATGTCATTAAATCACAAACATATCATATTGTCTCTAAGGATAAGAAAAAGCTCCAAAAAGTCTAAGCAGTTATTTCTTATTTATATTTTAATTTTCTACTTATGTTTAATTTAATTGATTATTGTTACATAAATTGACCTTGAAAAAAAATGCCTTAAAATGGTTTTGAAACAAATTGATAGAGCCAAATTTTTGTGTCCCCTTACTATTTGGAACTCTCTTATGTTTTAACAGGTATGGATAGCGCCAAGAAATTAGGAATTGAACCAATTCTATCAGCTAAGGAAATGTCTGATCCTGATGTAGAACATCTTGGTATTATGGCTTATGCTGCTTATTTTACACGTCTAACGCCTAGGAAAGTAGTAGCTGAGAAAGCTAGTGTTAATGGTGATTTTTCAAATGTTCAAGTTGGACAAGAGGTAATAGTCAACCTTTTTATCCAGCCTTTGAAGTCTAACATGTTGTTTTTAAGACCTAAACAATTGTCAAGCAATTGAGACCTTAATAAGTCCTAGAGGCCTACAACTGAGATGATATGAAAATTTGTTTCATTGAATCAGATTTCGCAATAGAAGAGTTGAAAAGCAAAAGCTGGAATCTCAAACAGAATAGTATGTTTGATACATATATTTTAAAAGTATTAGTTTCTTTATTTCCAATATATTGCATGTTGTACTCCTATCATAATATGCATGTTCTGATTTTTGCTTTGTTTTGATAATGTATGTATTCATTTGGGGTAAAACCTCTCCTTTTTGTCTTTTTTTTTTGAAGAGCTAAAATCTAGAGAATTTTTAATACTTCTTTAAGATTCAGACTGAATTTCTTCACCAAGATAAATTTGAAAATTTGAATTTTGTAATTCCTGTAAATAAGTGAATTATTGAAGATTTATTTGAATTTCTTCTAGATCTGAGCTCTTCTCTTTGGTTCCCCTGCACTTGAAAGTCATGTCCATGGCAAGGACAATATTAGGTACTATATCAGGATATACAAAATTTATCTTCCATATGTACATGTATTTAGGAATCTGAAATTATTACTGAAGAAAGGACAGGAAGGGTAAACTTAGAACCTGAAATTGTAAGAACTAATGAAGTCAGAAGTGTAGAAACTTCTGTTAATAAATCAACCACCATTTTGGATTTTGAACCTGATGATTGTGAATATGAAAAAGAAGTAAACCTCTTTTCGAATTAGAATTGAAATTATTTAGGTTTTAGACATTATTAGTAGTATAGTACTTTTGCTACTCAGAATTGAAGAAACAATTGGATGAAATAATTTCAATTGTTACCATGGTAATGGTACAGGTTTTGTTTTGTCCATGGTTTTTGATTAAACTAGATTTATAGTGCTTAAGGTTGTTATTAATGTACTTGTGTAAAGATAAAGCAAGCAGGCACCTAGTTTTTGTATTTTTTGTATTTTTTGTTTCACTAATTGTACAAGGTTTCTTCTGTTTTCCATTGTTTTTTTTTATGTTTATAGAAAATTAATATGAGTACTATAGTAGTTTTATTTGATAGTGTAAATCAGGGTTTGGCCTTGTTTATTATCAACAAAATCAACTATTAACCATATTTTTGTGAAAATTCTCTATTTTCTTCTATTGATGGCAGTACTATCAATTCTTTCTAGGAATATAAGATTAGATGAATGTGCTTCCTCAAATCTATCAATGGTTATATTTATAATATTTAAGATATTTTAGTAGTATTTCTTGATTTACACTATCATTTATGTTGTACAGTAGAATTTCAATCTTCACATATTTAACACATGTAGTAATTGTTTGGTAGCAAAAAGGATAAATATATCTTTTGCCTGCATGTTTGTTTACCAATCATTTTTAAAAATTTTAATTTTCTCTTTATAATTTTTATTTCATCATTTACTTCGTCTCATTTTGCATGTCAAATTATTTTCTAAACTTTTGGGTCATTCTATTGGTTTATTCTATATTGTAAATGGGCATGTCTTTTTTTTTAAGTTGAAAATTAATGCTTGATAAAAGTTTTCTGAAACATTGTCTGAAATATGTTTCTGTGTTAATTTTGTCTAGAAATCATTCCGAGTGTCTGTAGACTCTGATGTGTTACCACATGATGTTAGAGCAGAGATCATTGGTCCTGATTCTATTGTACCAGTTAGGATGAATTGGAGTGGTAAAACAGCCAATTGTACCTTTACTCCAACTGAAACTGGTAATCATAAGGTATGTTTTATTGAATGGGTGGAATTGTTGTTATTTCCAAAACAGTTACTTTTGCCCAAAATATTCAGAATGTTTATGAAATGTTACATTGATAAAATTGGACAGAGATATGTTCATACACATCCTTGGAATTACTAAACCAGTGTGAACCAAAAGCCAGGTTCAAGTGTATTCCTTGATATACCTCTTGATAAAATGGACTGTTGAGGCATGTGCAAAGATATCTTTGCTGATTACAAAAACCAAGAACATGTCGAATATTACAAAACTACCAACAACTGCTTCAAATATTCCATAAATAACTTATCCAAGGCCAAAGCATATCATGAAGGCAAATACAACACTTTTGAAACAATGAACTTAATTTCAGTGTCTTCATTTTCTTCAATTCTTTAAAGTCAACCAAGGCCATGCCCCAAATATTGTCTTGGTCTCATTCTAACTCTAATTGTGCTACTACCTTGAAACCCATAACTCTACATTTACACGACACTTTAATTTCGAAACATATTTTTTATTATTTTTATTTGTAGTTAAATGTATACTGTGAAGGTCAAGTTATATCAGAATGTCCTATTAATTTCAAAGTAACATCAGATAGATCTAGAGTATCATGTAGACCAATAGAAAGATGTCCCATGGGTGTTGTCACAGATATGAAAGTTGATACATCTGCTGCTGGCCGTGGTAATGTTCAGATTGAAGCTAGGTCACCTAGTGGAAGGGTACATAACCTACCAGTATCTGATAATGGTGGAATTCATAATGGTAACTTTAACCCTACTGAAGTTGGTAAGTTGAAGGCATAAAAATGTATTTTATACCAGCATGTTAAAAACAAGGCCTTATAAGAAGAAGTACAATGGTTCAATGTGCCATCTTTTCATGGATCCTGGGTATTGGGGCAGATTAAAGTTGGTGCATCAGATCTGTGTGTATGTTACTATTTGTTTGTTCTGGATTTTGGCACCTCAAATATATCGGCCACATAGTGTTTTCATTTGATTCAAGCAACTGTAAACAATTTTGACAAGGATCAAGACTTGACATAAAATACTTAATAAAAAATTGAAATTATGACACTCACTATAAGGTATATATTTAATCAGAGCCATCAGCATGATAAAAGTGTTGCTAAACATAAATTACACAATGTAAATGAATGGGTATGTCTGCATGGGATCATAATATTTGTTACTATGTCTGGATAAAATGATTGTAATAATTTTTTTTTAGACTTAACAATCAATTAAGAATAATTGACAAAAAAAAAAAAGATTTTTGAAAAGAATGGGGAAATTATTTTCAGGGGAATGGCAGATGAATGTAACATATGATGGACAACATGTAGGAGGAAGTCCCTATACTGTTAAGGTTTTTGATCCTAATGCAGTAGATGTTTATGGATTAGATGGTGGTGCTGTTGGAAAAGCTTTAGCTTTTAATGGTAATGAGTTAATGATTCATCTTTCTTGTTGTTTCTGTTTTGTTAGTATGTTTTTTGTCTTAGTCAAAGTTTGGAATTATGTGCTTGCAGCTGTCCATATAGGGAATTCAACTTTCACTTTTGAATGTTTAAAGAAGACCAATTTAGTTAAGATATATTGCTGGATTGCCATATGATGACCAATGTAATTCAGGAGATTATTTATTTTAGTTGATTCATCAAGAGCAGGAGATGGTGATTTAGATGTTACTGTTAATTATCAGGGACAGAATATACCATGTTATACTACCCAGGAGTCCAATGGACATCATAAGATTAACTTTACACCACAAGGAGCTGGTTCCTATAAAGTTAATGTTAGATTTGCTGGTGAAGAAGTACCAAGTAAGCCCAAGATATCTTCAAATTGGATTATTATTTAGTTTACTCCATTTCGGGCACATGTTTCAGTAGCTAGATAAGTAGCAAGAATGAAAAGTAATGCACAGATTGTACAAAAGTGGGTCTGTGGATAGTCCTATCCTTGGGCATGATATGTGGATAGAATATTGGTACATTTAGGGTCAGACGTAAAATGTCACTTTTTAATGTCACACAAGTTGCTTCGGTCCAGTTTTTGGATAGCTTTTTTTTTGCACCATTGCCGTATCTATACAAAACTGAACCATTAATAAATCCATCAGGACATTACCGAATATTCTGCCCTGTTCTCCTCACAGAAGCAAAATGTATCTGATAGGTAGACTTAACTTATGGAGTTGTATGAAGACCTACCCCTTGCCTGTATTTGCACCATCCATATATCATTATGGAGTTGTATGAAGACCTACCCCTTGCCTGTATTTGCACCATCCATATATCATGTCCGAGGAAAGTTTAGGTCCAGATTTGTCAGGAAATTCTACTGAGTGCTTTGCTTTATTAGTGCTGAGTTGTATATTTCAATATTCCCATTTCTCTTCTTTTCTTCTGTAATCTTTTTACTCTTATTTTTATAAGAGTTCGATTTTTAAAGAATTTTCACAATTTAGAATTGTGTAAGTATTTTTTGAAGTAATCAAATCGTGAGATAGAAAAACTTGCTGGTACAAATTGTGTATATATTATGCTATTAATTCTCTGCTTTTCGTGTTACATTATACATATTTGCACCATATTGTCACATTTTGTCAATTTGGCTGTGTTTGAGTCAGTAGTCTTTGCCTTTACTCACTTCTGTGCTGTTCTATTATAATAATTAATTAATACTTAGATGAGAAAAGACTAATTAAAGTAAAATATTGAAGTAAATTCTAGGGTTTTCTACACTATGGTTCTCTGGTATACATGTACTGAATTCTCTCCTTTCAATGTTATTATCTTTCAGTTAAAGTTTCTAAAAAAAAGAATGTAGGCTGAAATAAGCTAAATAAATGTCATTAAAAATCAATAATGATCAATGAATTTTGATTTGAATTTTAGGTATTTTAAATGAATAATAAGATGTTTATTTCTTTAAAACTGTTAAGTATAATATGAATATTTATTTTACTCATTAATTCATCAATGTTGTTAAAAAATTTTTTTTTTTTTTACAATCACTAGTCAAGGTGAATATGTTACAATTTTTATTAATTGTTTCAGAAATTTTCTAAACTTTGCAAATTGTGTTATTTTCAGAATCCCCATTCACACTAGAGATAGTAGATTCTAGTATGGTATCAGTGACAGGTGATGGTCTAAGTCTCGTTCCTGTAAATCGTCCAGCCACGTTTAATGTACAGACACAGGGAGCTGGCGGGGGCAATATCAACGTTGATGTGGTTTGTGAGTATTATTTATCTTATATATTTATGACAAACAGAAATCTCATTCTACATATAACGTGAACATTATCTACTCTATTCTCAATATATATATATATCTTTACAATAGATGTTAACTGTAGTTTATTTACTAATATGCATGATCCTGCTACTAACCATTGCATCCTATTAATGATATATTGTATTTATTGTATGTGTTTTAGTATGTGTTATATATCTATATGTGTTATGTTGTTTTTGCATGATATGTATTATAGTCAGCACAGCTTTTTTCCACTTTTTTTATTGTTTTATCTTGAGAGGGTTATGTATGTTTGTGGTTGGCAATGCTTTATTTTTTATTTGGATATGAATATTGTGTACCTGTATTTTAGAATGTTTAGGTGTAGAGGTTAACAAACAAGGAACAGAATGTATATATGAATGCAGTCAAATATTGGGTTGAAAGGTTATATGATATGTTTCAGATAAAATTTGCATTTTCAATATCTACCATAGGTGTACCATATAGGTGTCTATGTTAAATACATGTTTGGCATGTGTTATGTATGGTAATAGATGTGGTCAACACCTTGAATAGATTGAAAACAAGATGGCCCCATATCAGATATACTTACTATAAGATTGTAGAGTGTTGTGAAAGTGTAGTACTTGTTAAATTGTTCATGAAAGCCGTGCTGACTAAAATTATAAGATGATTTTGTACGTGTTTAGTTTTGTTTTGTTACTGGCGTTGGAATGCAGACGTAGATTTTATTTCCCAGTCCTACCCGTCCTCTAATACTTAACTGTTTATTACCGCTAAATAAAGGAGCGTAACTCTAAAACAACTGTAGAAGGTATGTATAATGTTTGGTTGTCTGAGATTCATTTACTGAATAACTTTAACCTCCCTTAATAAACTTACAAATTTCAGCTCCCTTTTTAAATCAAGGATTGAATTGAATAAAATGAACAGTAATTCTTAAGTCTTTTAATCATTTTATTATAAAAATTTAATTTGATTATGATAGTTAGAAATGTTAAAGTCTCTACCAGACACAACTGCCATTTAATTCCAAGAAATCCTGTTTTACAAGAGATAGATTGAGTATAGGAAATGAAATTATAAAAGGCAGCTGAAAAAAAGTTTATATATTTGATCCTGTTACCAAATGCTTACCAATGTTATCCAACTTTAAAAATTGCATGTTTTAAACAAATCTTAAAGATATACACTCCCTAATTTAAAACGTCTACTTTTGATATTTGATTTGATTCCTAGATTCTAGGTTTACTGTATAGAATGACAATTTAAGTTAGTTCACTTGAAGTTCAAATGAAAATTGTTTTATTGTAGATTAACCAAACTTTGGTTATTCATTCTGAAAAGTGACACTGTATGTTACATTAAATAAAGTTTTATTGTCAGTTGTAATTAAAATTCTAGAGAAAAATATTCTAGAAATTACCCTCCCTTATGTTTGAAAAATAAAATGTATTAGTAGCTTAAATATATACAACTATAGTATATTCAGTAACTGAATTTCAGTGTTTTTTAATCAACAATTGGTGAATGATTTTTAATTATTTAAACACCACAATTCATGGGAAATGTTTAATTTTTGTTGTCACTTTCACATGGAATGGTTTTTTGGAATTGGTCGTTGTTTTAAATATTGCATGTTTATATGTAAATTAAATCCTCACCTAGTTTTTATACTTACTCTAAATAAAGAGAAATATTTTGAGATTTGTACTTGTGATTTGAATTTAGCGCCAAATGGAAAGAAAATAAGTAAAAAGATTATAAAAGAAAATGAAGAGAATTACAGAATTGAGTATTATCCAGAGGAAGCTGGTAAGATGTAATCAAGAATATCTTGAGAATAGATTCCTTGGCACCATTAATAAAGAGAAATTTAGAGCTGTCACATATATTTCAGACCCTTATTTTTTTGACATATTTGAAATATGAAGCAATATTGAAGCCTTGAATGTTGAATGTCAATGAAAAACATTAAAAACAGTTAAGAATTTTATAAATGGTTCCCTATAATTTACAAGTATTTTATGTGCATTTTTTTGTTATTGAATACAATTTACATAACATTTACATTTACAGGAGATTATAAAATAACAGTATATTTTTATGATCAACCTTTACGTGGTTCACCATTTACCTGTAAAGTCTATGATCTTGGTAAACTTACAGTTCGTAATATGCCAAAAACAGTATTAGCTGGAAATCTAGTATTATTTGATAGTAAGTTTCCTTATTTACCTGGTTAAACTTTTTATATTTATCCCTAAGTTAGCTGATAAGTCAAAAGTATTTTAATTCATTTTATTATGAGTTGTGTGGACTTTGAAAAGATGTTGAGTTGAAAGTAGCTGAGTGACATTAGATGTTGCTGATAAGTAAGATGCCCTCACTGAGTATTCTGAAAATTTGTAAACAGATGATTGTATGGCTTTTAAAAACAAAGTTTAATCTGTGAAAAAATACTACAGGTATTACAAATGTTTATTTCAGTTGATGCATCCCTGGCTGGTTCAGGAAATATTGAAATACGGGTAAATGAAGGACGGGTAGCTTGTAGTGTTGAAAATAAAGGTGGCCATCAGTTTGTAGCATCATTCTTACCTGAGGCACCTATTACACATTATGTTGAGATGACGTTTAATAATGCTCCTGTTGATGGTAAGATTGTATATAATCTATGTCAGTGTAATCGCACAATGCTTAAAATATAAAAATATTAATGGAAGAAGTAATTTTTTCATTCAAAGTAAGACTAGAAGAATTGATTTTGAGATGAAAATATATTGATATGTTTGCATACATCATGAAGTAATTTGAAAATTTATATAACTCACCTCTTGAGAATCATACACTTCATTGTATTGTAGGGAGCGCCTGGAAGGTCTATGTGATGGACCCTCAACAAATTACAGCATCAGGTAGTGGTCTAGAATTGATACCTATCAATCATAGAGCCCATTTTAAAATTCATAGTGATGGCAGTCCTTTAGATGATGTTAAAATTATAGTCAAAGGTAGGATACAGGCCAGAGTTACATCCCCTGTTACCGGGCAGCTGCATGAAGTTTTAAGGTTTTATTTGAATTGAAGTTTAAATAATTATAAGGGTTCAGTTTTAAGTTTTTATTAAAATCATGTGTCTGAATGATGATTGATGATTGAATTCTTGTATGTATTGTTGTATGCTTATATTGTGTTGTGTTGTTGTGAACTTGTTGTGTGTTTGTTGTTTCATCAATTTTCATTGTTCCTTTGCTTAGCTTATTTTAATTTTCATTTGTTTATTTCTGTTAACAAATCAAACACTGATCACATTTCTCAATATAACTGAAAATAGATCCACTTTATTTGTGCACTTTCAACTTCTAAATGACTTATGTTTAATGATTTAAAATTTGTAGATTGAGCTTTGTAGATTTCATTAATTTTTTGCAAAATTTACACAATGATTTGAAATTGATAGATATATTACTGATTGTGTTCACATCATTATTGATTTTTAGAGTTGTAGATTTCAGATTTTGAAATTCAATATTAAATATTGTATATTATTTTTCATAATGATATAGTTATTATATGTCTTTTCGACCTAGTCACAAAATAAATTAGGATAATGTTAAAAGTTTCTATGTCATAATATGATATAACTGCTTACTTCAGCACCAAATGATGAAACTATTACCTCTAATATAACACTTATTGGAGATGATATAAGAGTGGAATATACACCAACAGAAGTCGGTAAGTCAAGTTTAATCATTATTAGTTAGTTAATCTTAATGGGGGATTATGGATAGGAATCTGCCTAATTATAGTGATATTATGCATATTATGGTATCAATTTTTGGAAGCAATCCCTTTCATCTTATACTGTATCAGTTTAATATAGAAGTCATGAAATGTGGTGGTTTATTTGAAGAAATTGGACATTAAGATAAACATATTTGGATTGTAGGTGATCATGAAATCAGAGTAATATGTGGTGAAAGTCAAGTTAATGGTAGTCCATTTATAGCCAAGGCTTATGATACTTCAGCTATTGTTGTTGATCCACCAGATGATGGCTATGTTAATAAACCTATATATTTTAGCAGTAAGTATTTGTTTAAATAGGGAGCCTTGACACCTGACTATCTTGACCCTCTGTTCACTCTTTCACATGCTTTCTGTTTAACAGCTGCTATTATATGATCCAGAAAGCTGAAGTTATTAAAGTAAGGAATTTCTTTGAACAAAACGATCTGAACCTAAATATTTAATAGGAATAGAAGCTGAAACAGTTCAGTATCTGATCATTCAGCATGAACTTGATATAAAGTCAGATATCTGATGTGTTTATTCTAGTTGATGTTCAGGACGCTGGAGAAGGACAGCTACAGATTATGGTTAATAATGGTAATCTACCTAATGAGGTGGAGGTACAAGATGATGGAATTTATAGTATATCATTTATACCAGTAGAATCAGGTCCACAAACTATTGATATTAGTTTTAATGAAGAACATCTTCCAGGTAAGTTATCTTGTACCAAGGTTCAGCTTAGCAGTCATTTAAGGACAATATCTCCAGAGGAAGTCAAGGTACCTGTATTGGTAACTGAAATCTAGCATTGATTGGTTGTCTTAAAGGATCTAATACTTGTTTGTTCAGCTTCTCAGTTAATTTTGTCTGAGTATGAACCTGGCTGTGTATTCACAATGTCAAATTGCTATATTAAGAAAAGCTGTAACCCATTCCAAAACTCAAATTAAATTTTCAGACAGCAATTATATCTTTGTGTGGTATTTCAGGCACCCCATTGACTTGTAATGCTCGAGATCTGAGTTTAGCCATGGTGAATATAAACCCTGTAGAAATTGTTAACAGACAAACTGAGTTTGTTATACAGACTAAAGGCAATGAACAGTTTAACTGTGCAGCTCAAGTATTCTGTAAGTTATTTAATAGTTATTTAACACTTTGATCATAATCAACTGTTTATAATGAAACACAATTTCCATTCTATTTGATTATGTATCAGCAACATTTCTATGCTGAATTTTTTCCTTCATATAATATATATGAACGTAATATGGTATTACTTGGCAAGTTTCATTACAAATTCATTAATATTTTCTTACATACAATATTGATGAAGTATATTATGATATTGAATGTGTATGAACAATAAAGTTTTATAAAACGAGTTTTGTGTTTTATTTAAATCATAATCTTTCATCATCAGGGCCTCATTATTTCACTATTCGTGTGGGGCTTTTTATTATATTTTCTGTTTATTTTTTGTTTATATACAATCTATTATTTATGACTTCTAAGAATTAGAAGAAGTATTGTTTTTTTAAAAGAAAATGCAAATTTTAAGTATTATTTTTGCATGCTGCATGATTTTGGTTTATTATAAGCATATTTAATCAAAGGGGAATTATAGATCTATTGGTGAAAATAAGGTTAAAGTTGAAGGTTGAAATGCATGTTGGGATTTAAGAAGCAGAAGACAGGTTAGACTGTGTATTTTTATTTTATCATACTTCATCATTACATAAGTAATCAATTTTGCATTCAAGATTCATCTTTGAAAACTCAGTGTCAAAATCAGTATAAGAAAATTGCTACAAAATACATTATTAATGTATGGCAATGTTACAATGATATTGTCTAAAGTGAAACAAAAAGGCATAAGCTGCATAGAACATGAATTGTAGAAAGAATTAATGAACTAACATATTATTCTAGATGGTAACCTGACCTGGCCAGAAATGATATTATTGAGTCAAAAGTTTAGAGATATGAAGTAACAAATTCTTTGATATTGCTCCCAAGCTAATGTAAAATCTATGATTTTCAGCACCAATGGGTCAGAAAGTTCCTGTACAAATAACAGGAAATTCAGCTAGTGGTTTTAGAGTAGAGTACACACCTAGAGATATTGGTACCTATACAGTTACAGCAAGTTTAGCTGGTATACCTATTAAAGGTAGTCCATTCCGAGTCAAATCATTTGATCCTACTCAAGTTAAAGTATCTAAGATGCCTCAAGGAATAGTTGGTATACCATGTAAATTTATAGGTCAGTATATTTCTACAACAGTATAGTAAATTTACTTCTGACAATTTAGACTTTTGAATTTCAATTTCCATGATGGCCAGGTGACTGGTGAGAAGGATGACAAAGTTTTACAAACAAACCATTGCATTTTCAATATTTGGATTAGAAACACATATTTTTACAATCATCAGAGCTGCATTTATCAATTACTGTATAGGTTTGATATTGACTATTTCAGTTGATGCTTCATCAGCTGGTGAAGGAACTCTAGAGTTAACTGTTGGTGCTCATGGACGTAATATACCCAATCAGGCTAGATCATTAGGTGGTGGAAGGTATGAGGTATCATTTGTTGGTAGACAAGCTGTCAAACATCAGGCTAATATTACTTATAATGGTATACCTGTACCTGGTAGGTGTGATGAAGTATTTTTAAGTTCTAATAAATGTAAGAAAGTGACAGATCTTGTTGGGCCCAAGTCAGAAGCCTAATTGGGTTTCAGGATTTTACAAATAGAATTTGGATACATTTTGACAAGAAAGATCTATTTGTGATATATAAATGCTGTCTCTTGAATAAAATGATGCTGTAATTTCAATGAATTTATAGACATTATTTTGTATCCTTCAGGTTGTCCATTTGAAATAGATTTTCTAGATGCTAGTAGAATAACAGCTGATGGAGAAGGTTTAAGTCTTGTGTCCTGTCACAGATCAGCTAATTTTACTGTTCATGCTCCTGGTGCTGCTATGCCTGATTTATCTGTTAGGGTAATGTGTAAGTACTAAACAAAATAATCCGTTGTACGTCCTTTTTTGGAGTTTTCTATTGTACATGTACAGTAACTATACAATTTGTTTTCAGGTAGCATGAGCCTCGATCACTTTTGAGGAACTACCCTTGCTTACAGATTTTTTTGTGCTGAAATTCCAATGATCATCTTGGATCAAGATCATTGTTTTTGGTTGAATGAAAGAAGTGTGGAGTTGGATGAATGTATCAAGTCATGAATGAATGAAACTTTTATTGCAGCATTTACACATAGTTGCACAAAACTGAAAATTGCATGTAATGGGATGTGACTTTACGCGATATTTTTTCTGTTTCTTCTGCTTTCGATTTCTGTAATGAGATCATGGTGATGGTTAGTCTTTGGGCATCTTTTCTGATATATTTTTTAGGAACTACAGGTAGGTTGCTATATTTTTTTAATTAATTTATTTATATTTAATTTTACAATATCTATCTCAAAATGAATATTACAAAATTTATTGGCTTGTAATTTTTGAATCAGTAAATTGTTTTCCAATTTTTTTATCAGCTCCTGATGGACGAGAAACACCTGCTAGAATACGCCAAAAAAATGATGATACTTTTAGTGTTGAGTGGACACCTCACATGATAGGTAGGATAGTTTCGCTATGTACTTTGACCCTATTATAAGAGTAACTGCCCTGTATTTCTGAAATTGTTGAATCAATTTTATGTTATAGTAACTTCATGAAGAAAGTCTTAAAGAGTATTATTTTCGGTGTAACACAGAGGAAATTATTCTGTAATGCCACAATTGAATTGAATTCCTTTTATGTTTCTTATCTACAGGAAAATTGATATTTTACTAAAATGACATTATTGTTTAGGTTGAATATTAAAGAAATGACAGGTATTCTGCTGGAATAAACATGATTTACAGTTTCATAGAACTATTCAATGTATATTTACAGGAGATCACCGTGTGGTAGTAGAATATGCTGAAATGTCTATTAATGGTAGTCCATATATAGTTAAAGCTTTTGACGCTAGTATGGTTAAAGTATCACATATTGGTCAAGGTTATTTAGGAAGACCTGTACCATTTACATGTAAGTATTGAGTAATTTACTGAGTAGAATGCAACAGCAGAATTATCTTCAATATTGTTATAACAACCAGATATCTGTAGTAAACTAGGATCTGATACCTCTACAGCCCCCATCCCCTTTCTTGTGAAATGTTGATGGATTACAAGTAAATCAATTGAATGTATATAATTTTAGTGGATGCTAGTGAAGCAGGTGATGGAAATCTAGAAATACAAGTTACAGCTGATCATGATAGTGTACCTAATTATGTCAGACAAGATGGCGATATGTCATTTAAAGTTTCTTTCACACCACAAAAAGCTAGAACTCATCATGTTAATATTAGATTTAATGGAGAACCTGTCCCAGGTATGTTAATATTAGATTTAATGGAGAACCTGTCCCAGGTATGTTAATATTAGATTTAATGGAGAACCTGTCCCAGGTATGTTAATTAACATCTTTTACCACATTCCATGAATTTAATGATGATTTAAATGGACTTATCTTGTAGCTATTTTTGTTTCTGATATTCATCTGTGATCACTATGTATCATTTTACCACTTTATGTATCATATTTTCAGTAGGCTAATACGTGTATATATGATTTTTTTTGCAGGAAGTCCATTCCAATGCCGTATATTAGATAGTGATAGAGTTATAGTATCTAATGATTCAGTTAAACAAATACCATCAGGTGTACTAGCTAGTTTTAAAGTTGATCCTCAAGATGCTGGTGAAGGTGACTTAGAGGTCAAAGTAATCTGTAAGTATCTTCTACTTGTAATGGAAAAAATATGCAAAACAGGACACTTTGTTTCTGAGGAAGAAGGTAACTCATAAGGTTTAAGGTTAACTTTGGGGTTAAGCGACAAGCCTATTTTATTTCATGATAAGCAAGACAATCCTTTTGAACTTGAATAAATAAGGCTCATGATCAATTTCTTCTATTTTGACAGCACCAACAGGACATGAAATACCAGCTCGTATATCAGGCTCATCTCATTCCAACTATAAAGTAGATTATACACCACAAGAAATAGGACGGTACAAGGTGTATGTAGAATATGGTGGTGTGGAAGTGAAAGGAAGTCCCTTTATATCCAATGTTTATGATCCATCATTAGTTAAAGTAGAATATCCTAATAGAGCTTATTTAGGAAGACCTATCTATTTCCATGGTAAGAATAATTTAATCTTGAGAAAAATTGGTATTAAGAAAGCATGTAGACACCTTCTGTGTAGAACTATAACTGTTACTATATTTTAATTATTGAACAGTTGAGAAAGTGAATCTTAACCTTTAACTTGTAATATTAGCAGATAACAGTTTACATGTCATCCATTGAAAATATCAAGTCTAAGACAGAACATCTGATTAGAAATGTAAATGGTGTTTGAGTGAATTAACTAATGAGAATGATGTATTTATTTTTAGTTGATGCATCAGCAGCAGGTCAAGGAGAATTGGCAGCAGAAATCAAATCTCATGGTCAGTTGGTTCCTAGTCAGTTCCGTGAAGTAGGTGTAGGACGATATGAACTGAGTTTTACACCCAAAGATATGTCAACTCATAATGTTACAGCTTTATTTAACAACTATCCTATACCAGGTACTGTTCACTCTTCTTTGCTTTAGGTTCTTTTTGAAGTTCAGGATACTTAAAACTTTGCACATATTAGGGCTACATTGAAAGAACATAAGCTGCAACCATACTATTTTAAGAGCTCTCTTTGCTTTCTCAATCAACTGTAGTCCCATAGTGATGAGTTTGATTGCTATATGACTTTAAATTAAACCATAATTCCACAGCCATTCCTGGAAATTGTTTAATATGCTTTAATGAGCTATTAATGGAAGCATGAATTAAGAAGGAGTGTGTATTATATTCCCAATTATACAGTATATACATAATCAACTTGAATGATGTTTTAAATGGAATATAATTTCAGGTTCACCATTCCATGTTGATGTTATTGATACTAGTAGTGTTACTATGAGTGGACAAGGTTTAAGATCAGCTCAAGTTTATCGTGAAACCTGGTTTAATCTAGATTTACATGGAATGGATGATACAGATCTAGATGTACAGATTGTCAGTAAGTCAAAACATTCTTTCTAACATAAGTACAGTGGCAAGGGCTAGAACCTTCTGGAACTGTGATACAAATAGTGGGTGGATTGATTTAATGGAGGGACAACTGGCTGGATTGAGATTGCTTGCCATGGTGGGTATTTTAAATTGATTTGGTGCATTCTGACAACTATTTGGGGCAAAAAAGTATGAAAATCATATGTTTCTCATATATGAAGTGGGGGTACAAACTATATTCCGTGGGGACAAATGCACCACCCTCCTTTATTGTATCAAATGTATCTTTCTCTTTAAGGTCCATCTGGTCATGAACTACCATGTAAATTAAGCCGTAAAGGTCACATTTGTCGAGCAGAATTTACTCCTATGGAAGTTGGATCTCATTTTATCGATGTTTTCTTTGCTGGAAATAAACTTCATGGTAGTCCATTTATAAGCCATGCATTTGATCCTAGTTTAGTTCGTATTACTGATGTAGATAGAACTGGGAAGAAAGAGAGAGAAATAGGCTTTACTGGTAAGTAGAAGATATATATGACACCATTTAGGATTAGACTGTAGATATGGGTTCTATTCTCAAAATAGCTGGAATAATTTCCTTGTTGAAATACTGTACAATAAGTGGTTAATTGAGCAATAAGAAATAAATTTTTAAATGTATATTCCTCTATTTCTAGTTGATGCATCAATGGCTGGTGTAGGTGAATTAGAAGCTGTAGTAACACACAATGGACATAAAGTACAGACCTATAGAGAATCTATAGATGAAGGAAGATATAGATATACATTTAATCCTGGTGAATCAGGCCATTATGAAGTTAATGCTACATTTAATGAAGAACCAATTCCAGGTAAATCTCTATAATGTAGTCTTATATTGTAGTCTTATGGACCTCAAATACGCTATCGACAATCACAGTACTGAATTGTTTTGGAGTATACAAAACTAGGACAGGGACTTGGAAAAGTACCAGTTTGTCTCACATGTCCATAATTAATTAATAAATAGTTAAATTAGAAGAGAATTACCAGCAGAATTCCAATGAGTGACCGATCAAAAAAGGTTAAAAAAAAAAGTCTTTTTTGTTTATCCAGACTGTACATACATGTACATTTATGATTGGTTAAAACTTAAATTATATGCAATATAAGAAAATAATGATATGATAAAGAATACATGCTAATTCGTTAGAAACACCAATTAATCAAATAGTTTGCTTAATTTGACACAAACAGATAAGGAAACCCAACTTTAAAGGATTATCAATAGTTAATTGAAAAGTAGTTAAAAATTTACACCATAATTCATGTTACCAAGATTCTTGCTAAAGGAACTATAGCCACAGAGTGTTTTAGTAAGGCCAGCATGTTCTATTATCTGTTCTATATTTGAAATAATACTACATTGTTATATTGTCTTATCAAATGTATTTTTTTTTATATCAATAGGTTGTCCTGTTGTTATCAATGTAGAAGATGAGATACCAACTTTTATTACCATCAGTTTCAGAAGTGTTGAAGCTTTGAATGTGAATGAAAAAAATCACCATTTTATGTTACATATGAATGGAAAACAGATTGATATGAATCTACTTAATATTGCAATACAAGGTTGACAGACAAAACAACATATGCATGCAATGGCTTGATGGGGAATAGGCTTCTCTCTTTGATCTGCAGTTACCTTTCATGATCATATCATTGTGATATCATATATGATCACAAAATGTATTTTTTGGAAATCATAGTTGTATAATCAGTCCTTAGTCGAAAAATGAATTTGTTGTATAATATTCTGACGGTCTAGGGTTGATTCTGATATTACAGAATGGACAATGGTTTTGGTATATTATAAACTGCATATAAACAGTTGATTGCTTTGTTTATGATTTCTTCTTTCTATACCTGTGATAAGCTTATAATACTACTATTCCATGCTTAGAGGATCTTTTTATGATCAAAAATAATAAATAATACTATAAATTTTCTTTACAAATGTAGTCAGGTATTTCTTACATTTGCTTCTTTTGACAGAAGCCATCATTTCTTTGTTATTTCTCTTATTTTTGAAATAACTAATGTTTGAGCTATATCACAGGTATAATCAGGTGAATTTTAAGTTGAATGAAATATATATGTTATGTATAACTGAATATGTTATATATAACTGATTATGTTATATATAACTGATTATGTTATATATAACTGACTATGCTATATATAACTGGATGTGGGGAATTGTGAGTATGATTTTTAGCCTAGAGATGTATTAGATAGGGAAGGTTGTATTATTTAGTTCATGTATATATGATTTGTATTATTATTTCAAGCTAAAGAAAGGAGTCAAGTCGTTTAAATGAATCAGTACTGAAAGAAGATTGATGAATTTGAAATATAAATCTATCTTTTGTATTATTTATTATTATAATGATTATTGATGTATTGTGTTGATTTTATATTTTGTTTTCTTATAAAGATAAATTATATTGTAATGAAGCTTGCCAAAACTTTGACCATTTTAATTGAATTTTTAATTGTAAATGTGTTATTATAATATATCTCAGTGATGATTTATGATTAAATTCTAAGATGTTAAAATGTTTTTATTACAGCACCATCAGGAGAACAAGTTCCAGCTCATCTTGTAACTCAACCTAATGGTGATTATAAAGTAGAATGGACACCTAATGTAGCAGGTAATACATTTTGACTGATACTTGCTTTGAATCACATGGAGAAAACTGAAAGCACTAGCTCTTTTCAAGCCAACCTGGCTATGTCATTATGAGTGATCTAAGATGGTTATGGTAGGATTGGTTATGGAACCAGAGTATTCCATTCTTGATCCTGGTGATGATCAAGTTCAAAATAATTGGTTCTCCAACCTCTAGGTGGGGGTACAGGTTAAAAGACAGATAAGAATGCAAGATCAATGTAAACAAAAGTATAATCATTTCTCTCAGCATCTATTGGTTTCATCAGACCAGTTCCTTAATTCCCATTAATTATGAAGCTGATGCTTTAAGTTTAATATTTTATTCCTTGTATTTGTAGGAAGACATATGGTAGATGTATCATTTGCTGGACAACAGATTCAAGGCAGTCCATTCTATATTGAAGTATTTGATATAGCTAGAGTTAGAGTTGATAATTTTTATAATGGTAATGTTAATGAACCAGCAGGCTTTACAGGTTTGTGTCAAACATTTTCATTTTCCTTTCTATTACATGTCCTTTAAATTTTGAATATTTTTTTTTTTATGGATTTACTAAAATAAAGTTTATTTTGACTGAAGACTATGAGACATAAAATTGTTATAAAAATGTACCAAAGATGGTTATTTAACAAATGGAAGATAAGAAGATAAGAAGCAGTGTCCTATAGTAAAGAATTTCGCTACATAAAACAACTAAAACTAAAACAGTTGAAGATCCAATGATTATTGTTAGTTATTACAACTTATTGAATGATATTAAGAAGCTTAGTGATGTTCTGGTTCAATGATATTATATTATATAATATAGATTATAGTTGACCTATAGACAGTCAATATTGTTTATTATATTTATTATAACTCTAATATACAACATCAACATGTTTAGAAATATGAAAAGAGTGTATTTTTTTGATTCTCCAAGAGGTACTCAGACTGGATTTCTTTAAAGAATTGTTTACTTGGTGAAAAATTGTTAGAAGTGCTAAAAAATATATATATAACAATATAGATTATATAATGTATTGATGAGGACTATCTGAAAAGGATGCCATGTTGACCAAAACCCAATGGCAGTGTAACATCAAGTGTTCCAGAAAATTGAGCATGTCCTGATATGCTCGTATCATCTGCCACAAAATTTTTACAGTAACTGACTGTAGTTTGGCAGGTTTCAGAGCAAATTTCAGTAGAAGAAATGTGCTTACAAGAACAAAAGGAATTTTTTTCAAGGCAAAATAGATGAATTCAGTTCCATTCTGGCTCTCAACCATTTTAAAACCAATGTCAACTTTCATTATGTGATACCATTTTTAGTAGAAATTTGACTATGTCTGATATATAGTAGTGGTTGCACCTTTTTACTGCTTCCATTGAATATTCATTAAATTAAATGTTTGATTTGTTGTAGTTGATGGTACAAGAGCAGGTAAAGCTGAGCAGACTTTGATGATAACCAGTCCATCTGGTCGTACTGTACCATTTGAAATTGTTGAGGGCAGAGCTGGAGAACATAACGTGACTTATAGACCAGTAGAAGTTGGTAAACATAAAATACAAGTAGCCTATGGTGGACTAGATGTTAATGGTAAGTAAAGTAATAAAGATTACAATATATATTTAATAAAATTTAGATTAAAATTTAATGTAATTAAGATAATTACAGTGTGGTCCTCAAAAACAGTGAACCCATTTCATGAGCATGCAATCAAAAAATTTTAATAAACAATGGCACTTTTTAGATTAACCAAATGTATCTTGTTCCACAAAATATTATATGGATAACCTGTTCGTTAGATACAAAACAAAGTTCCACATACATGGATGACCTGTTTGTTAGATGCAAAACAAGATTCCACATACATGGATGATCTGCTTGTAAGATACAAAACAAGGTTCTACATACATGAATAACCTGTTCGTTAGATACAAAGCAAGATTCTACATACATGGATAACCTGTTCATACAAAACAAGATTCCACATACATGGATGACCTGTTCATTAGATAAAAAACAAGGTTCCACATACATGGATAACCTGTTCATACAAAACAAGATTCCACATACATGGATGACCTGTTCATTAGATAAAAAACAAGGTTCCACATACATGGATAACCTGTTCATACAAAACAAGATTCCACATACATGGATGACCTGTTCATTAGATAAAAAACATGATTCCACATACATGGACGACCGGGTGTCAAATGGCAACAAAACTAGTCCTGGAACAATCGCATTGTAGTATAAACATAATCTTTTTTCATTGGATGTGTTTTACCCTTGAAAATAATGGTTAATAAAAGTTTTTTGAGGGGGATTTTGGACACCCAGAAAAGTACGTATCCAGTATTTGCAATGATGGTTTGGACAAGTCCAGCAGAACCAAACTTGACCTTATACTGGATTATTCTAGTTTTTTACATAATGTGTTAAAAGTTGAAAAAGTGAAGTATATTTGTCTTGAACAATAGGTATTGTTTGTCACCTTGTGTCTATGAGTGTATTTTAATTTTTATATTATTAAAACCAGAAGTATGTTTAGTTTCCTTTGACAAGAATTTCTATTGAAGTATTAACAAGGACATAGTGATGTGTTTACATATACGTTTCAATTGAAGCGTCCGTGTCCCCTACTAATGTTTTAAGTCTGCATTTTGAATACTAGTAGGATTTGGAATAATTAAGTGCATATTATTATCATAAATTTACACAAGTTGAAAGAAGATTTTAGAGTTAGTTACTATATTTGTCTATATTATTCCCATGCTTATAATCCTTCAATTTATTTACATCTGACTCATAAGTACCAATGTACCGTCACTGCATAATAACTGTTACCTACACATACTAGTCAGACCTAGTAATTTACATAATATAAACAAAGGAGTGGTGAGATTTCTGATTTACAAGTCAATATAGAATAAAATGGAGGTTGTACAAATTCTGTAACTGGTACATGTTTTTATTTTACAACATATTTATTATATTTATGTGATTAGACAGACCAATATCTTATAAATTAACAAGAATTTGCAATCACAGACTTTCTCTCCAGTAAAATGCTGCTGATCTCTTTATTATACAAAGCACATTTCAATTAGGTCATGTTTTTTTAATAGTCACAGCTTTATGCAAATTCTGTATCCTTTGAACATCTGGGATACTGCAGTTAAATGTTAAGGAAAATCCCAAAGTTTTGTGACTCACCTATGACCTATAAAGTCTTTAAATGGCATTTAGTAATTGTAAGTACACAGAATTATGCAACAATAATCACTAGTTAAAGTTTTATGCAATGTTTCAACGTGTTTCCCCCGTCGTCCTTATAGGCCTGTGAAACATGTCGAAACTTTGCATAAAAGTTACCAGTGATGGTTGTTGCATAAAGCTGTGTCTAAACATTTAGGGATGTTTGGATCTGTTGTCCTTCAACTTGTGATACAGTTTGTGATAGTGAAGCTTAGAAACCCATATGTATACATGTATATGAATTATAAACTATTGAAATTTATAGTTTTGTTATTCCTTTGATATCATAAGTTAAATTGAAAAAGCAATATTTCAATATAAAGTTGAATGGTTAGTAAACTAGGTCAGTTTATATAAGAGTCGCCCTTTTAGTAAAAGTAAACACAAACCAAGCAGATTGACATTGATACAAATAGAGTAAAAATGTCAAGCTGGAATTTACTTACTAATGTCATTGAAAGTATTTGAGAGAAGTTTGAGTAGTCATGTTTATTAACTAGGTGTGAGACATTTCTAGAATAATGACAAGATATAATTTTATTAGTAAATATATTACAGTTTAAATATCTCTACTTGAGCTCTTCAGATAAATATTAGAATCTTTCTATGGTATTTATTAATATTGAGTATACTGTGATATTCAACTGTACATGTATGGTCTTTACCATGTATAAAATTTATAACACTGAAGATGAATCCTGACTGACAGATATGTTAAGATAATCATTAAGTGCAATCAATTGTTAAAGAATGAAGTCTCTTGTAGATTCATGTTTTTTGTCATCAACCTGTCTGTAAAAGAATCTTATGAATGTACTGCTGCAGAAATAATTGAAGTTTAGATGTTGACAGAAACTGAGAGTCAATATTGAATGATCTTGAATTAAACACTTTAATCCTAATGTGACACATTTTGAATTATTTTACATTACAATATATTAAGGCATTCATTACACTGTATATATATATATATATACAATGAATACAAATTTTGTTCTTTCTTGGGGAACCAAGTTACCTTAATGCTGAATAGATCTAGATGATACCTGCAGATTTTTCAACCTGGTTCCCCCCATCATTGATGCAGGTCGGAGAGGGTAACATGAAAAAAAAGCGTCAAGTCAGTCAAATGGGACAATATTCATTAGCCCTTTAGGTGAAGAAAAGTTGGATGTAAATTCATTTTATTTCCTGATAAAGATTCTGTCTTCATAATAGCTATTAATTATAATGCTTATCGATTATATCCATTTTTGTTTTTGAATTTAATATTGAAGTGTATATAAAATTATCTCTTAAGTTACTGTCTATGGTTTTCAACTTTCTGTAATGATGTTAGGATGTATTTTTTCATTGTGAAAAGATATTTGTTTAATTGACGAATGTAGAGTTGAAAGTAAAGGTTTAGGTGTTTGTTCACACTTGCACATGTTTAATTTTAACTGTTGAATTTAAATGACTTGTTACAGCTTTGTGAAGACTTAACTGGAAAATGTCATTTTTGAATTGTATTTTTAAAGGAAAGTGAGAAGGAATTTAACTTAATATCACTTTAAAAATATCTTTCAGGGGTAAATTAGTGATATCTGACATTTAAAAAAATTGTCCTAAAAATTGGATAAAAACAACTTAGCGAATGACTATCTAACACTTAACTAAATGCATGAGCAGAAACCAAACATATTTTAGAATTTGACTGGGCTATAACAGTGCTTGAAAAAGGCAGATTTCAGTACTAGTGTATCTACTATTTATATCATGTAAAAGAGTAAAAATGTTTATTCAGCTCGTTTTGTGTAAAAATCTGAAAATTTGATAAAATAGCATGTTTTTTACATATTTTTCATCCAAATTCTCTTGAATTTTTCTGATTACCCGGTACCTAACTTATTTTATAACATTAGTTTTTTTAACTCTGATAATTATTTTCTAAAATTTTTAAATTTGTCACACTGTTTTGGAGGTTGAATCATTGAAGTTTTTTTTACGAAAATGTGAACTTTCATTAAGTATGACACAGTAGGAGAAAATTACTAAACTTAACCTTTGACATTTGAAAGTTTTTGAAAGAGCTCTGTGACCTACTAAAAGAAAATAAAAGCCTTTGGTATAACCTGTCAACAAATAGTCATCAGTTTTTTTATCTCCATATCTTGCCAAATAACACCTCCGTTAAGATGAGCAATATAGACTTTGTATTTAACCAGCTTTCCTCACTGAAATATAAGGAAATCAAATTGGACAGCCATCTTGGCAATGTTACTGATATGTACCATTACTGGTGGTGTTTTTATTTCTTTGATGTTTTTACCACCTGTTTGAATATCAGCTAGAATTGTTTTAAAAAATTAGATTCATTGTTATTTCTACCCGAACAGACTCTTGGACAAAAAAGTCAAAAAGGTTGAGGCTTCGTGTAAAAATAATATTAAGAGATACAGCAGATTACTGGTGATATTGTATTCAAGTTAAGAGACATTGCAGATTCTGTCTATTTTCGACGTATATTGTGAAGCTTGCTAACTAAGGCACACCCAGAAGGACAACAAATGTGGCAACATTCAGCTTCCATATTGAGTGTAACAGGTCTGTTTACAGTTGGATACAGTCAACGCTAACTTTGTTCAAATAAAACCATCTAGGAGTGTTTTTAAGGTGAAAAAAAAGAATCTTGTTTGTTAGAAAAGACCTGTGTTAAGATTTACGTATATTTTGTGAAAGATTAGCTAAAACATTTAAGTGTCAATATCCTTTTTAAGACATGGAAATATTAAACATGGATATGTTGTAATCTGTCTGTTATTTTTTCATATTTGTGGTACACCATGCAGACGTCTAGCCACGTTTTTACTTTAAACTGTTGATATTGGCTAAGTTTGGAACTTTCCACTGTTCATAACTGATTGTATGTGTGTGATTTAAACTGAAGATTGAAAATTGATTTTTTAAAGGTCACATAACCATTGAGCATATTTGTGGCTCTTATTTTTAGATCTTTGTTTTGATTGTGGATGTTTGAAACTGGTTTTTAACACCTTGAATTTTAATAGTTCTGAACTGGATTGAAACTGAATTCAGTTGTTGATGAGTTATAGCTGGGTGTGTTAGAGGAAATTAGTTAAATGTTGGGTGAACAAAATAACCTTTCAAAATGTCATTGATTATAAAAAGTTGAAATAATTGTGCTGTGAGGATGTCAACAGGAAGTTATACCAAGACTGAAGAGTCTGTTGTGATAACAGAACAAGTTACAGCTGATGTTCATGTGAATGGATATGATCCAACTAGTCCAGGAATAAGTGAAGTGGCATATTCTTTTGGAACTCTACCTCAAACAGATATTTCTGCAGACAATTCTTTTGATCAGAGTCTGGAATCTCTGCAGGAATATGATTCTCCATTTACAAGAGCAGCTCCAACCAGGGTTTCCAGTAATTCTGCCATTCCATATCCTATGTTCTTTAAGAGATCTAAGAAAGATCCAGGGTCAAAGCAATACGATGCATTAGTGGCTGAACTGAGAACAGTTTTGAATAAACGCAAGTTAGGACGAAGCAACAGTATAATAGAAGGTGTAGACAAAATTGATCAATTTGAATCAAATCTTAAAGAAAGTAAAAAGTTCTCCAAATCTGTGGATAATTTAAATGGAGTGTTTGCCAATAAAGCCTTACTCAATCATCTTGAAAATCATTTGAAAGGAACTCTGAGTAAGAGATTTGCAGATGCCAATCCACCTCTTAAAGGTACAAGTACTGGTAATTCAAGTGATAATGAATCTAAGAAAACAGATTCGAACTTAACTGATTCTCATATACCAGAAGTATCTGAAGGAACATCCAAAGTGTTTGTTTCAGGTCCAAGCAATAATAGTAATTTAAAATCTGGAACTTTTACTAAAATAAGTAATGCTAGTCCCGATAACTACACATCTGGAACTTTCACAAAAATACATAATAGAGATTGTCACACAGATGATTTGACTCTCCTCTCAAATTCTAGTGGAGTCTCATTTAGTCAAGAGGATGATGATGATTTTTCCCGCCAAAACACCAACAGAAGACATCAACATAATGATAACACATTGGATAACAACAGAAATCATTCACAATTTACCACTATTTCTGTAGGCCAGAATGGTGGTAATTGGGCAAGTGATGATCCTGATTACTCTACTTTAGATCATCATAGAAACGAACACTCTCCACAAAGAAAGACTAGTTTGGTTCGAAGTGTTTCTCAGAAACTGCATCAAACTGTTCAAAGAATAACTCGTAGAGATGGTAGAAGAAATAGTAATATAAGTAATGTGTCCAGAAATAGTAGTATACAAAGACATTCTATTGATGACAATTTTATACGAAGAAAGCCCAAACAAGACAACATGCATCACAAAGTGTATAATGTAAAGTTTCCAGGGACCCCAGAAGTGTTTCATGATACTCAGTTATCCAGAGCTAGTAGCTTAATGTCATTACCAACCAGTCCAGCTAGAAGTTTATCACCAGATAATTCATATGCTATCTCACCACAACCATCTTACACCAATATGAACAATCATCATCCTAAAATAATCTTTCCAGTACCAGCTGTAGACTCTACACATCATTCTTTACACCGCTCTACAAATCAACCATTGAACCACTCTATGAGCCACCTTATGAACCACTCTATGAACCAGTCTGCAAATCAATCATTCCCTGTCCAGCAGACTCTATCTCATACAATAAGTAGTGATTTTATGGCATTGAGCAGAAATCAGATTAGTTCCCCTATATCCTATGGAAGTTTTGATCGATTGAATCTAAGTGGAGGACCTTCTCATCCGTCCTTATATAATAGTCATACTTTATCTAGGGATTACAGCCCTTTAACTCAAAGCAGTCATAATATATCACATGGTCTCAGTGGAACTGGTGATCTTAGTTTCTTAGATGGTAGACGTATTGTGTTCCCAGTGCCAATTGTGGGTGGAGCTAATGAGAATGCCCTGCCAATCACTCAACAGTTACAAGGAACATTAGATGCCAATATTGATGGCACTCATCATAATATTCCTGTTGTTCTTAATAATCTGACATTACAAAGGAATCCTCATGAAAATAGTTCCAATTCAACTAATGTGGGTAAGTTGTTTTTTTTGAATAGATGGCAAAATAGGGTTTATGCTTAGAATTAGACTGTGCGACTATAAATATTGAGGTGTATGGTGTGCACTGTTAACAGAATATTTCCTATCAAGACTACTCTGTCACCTACAAAAATGACTGTGACAATGTGAGTTACCTCTAGGGCCTATAGTTCTTGCTCACCCTTGATGAGCATTTGATACCAAATGTAGCCACATTCTCTAGCTTGACTTCCCTTTTAAGTACATATATCTGATAATGTTTATTTAAGCTCTCTACCATCCAGGATCTAGGGACAGAAGTCTATACTGACCCTTAGGATCTTGACATTAAAGCTGACCCTAACTAGATATTTGTTAGACAATTGTAAGTAACCAGTAGGCGTAAATAAACACAACCTTAATGATGACACAATATAACCTGGCTGACATGATATTTATCTCAGATATTAAAGGTTGATTCTATGAGGGGATGGAAACCTCTTGGCTATTATATTCGTGTAGGTTGACTCATGTGATAAAAGGGTATATGTCACTATTTGGAATGTTCTGTATGATGATATTTTGCTTGATTAATGTTTCTCAGGTCTGTAAGAGTTGTGACAAATTACTTTGTTTCCCCATAAAGATTACAATCCATTTCGTATATTGTTAAACATTTTTACCAAATGCTATGCACATTTAACATATAATAAATACAAACATACTAAGAAGTTTGGCTAAAGTGTCCCCATGTATGCATGGCCAAGTGGAATTTTGTTGATGTTACCAGAACACTTGACTTATTTGAGATGTTGATGGATAGAATTTCACCCTTGCCTGTTTTCTTTGTTATGTTTCTTTTGGATCCAAGGTGTCTGCTCTTAATCCAGAAAGAACATTGAATCAGTTATATTGAGCAAATGTATTACACATGAAAACATTTTTCATGAGTTCATGAAATTTAGATTTGAAGGTGAAGTAGTTTAACACTACACAAATTATAGACAGTAAAACATGTCTTTCAATGATAATTAGACATGGTGTAATCAATGTTTCTTACAAATCTAACTTTATATTGACCCCTTGTTACCGTCTGCTCAAACTCTAGCCACCATTTTTAATTAGAGTATATTGACACAAGACATACCATGGATAATTAAGATTAGAAACACCTCTCTATTGTTGACATTATTTTCTAAATCAAATTATAACATGCTATAAATACATACTCACATCAAACTTGTGTGGCCTGCAACTTTCTTTTTTATTTCTTGATTTATTCATAGAATCAGACTTTTAAGAATAACAATGTTTCTTTCTGTAAGCTTATAGTTTTAGAATTTTATATTGATACCCTTGCAGGAACTTTTGAATGAGGAAAATTAGTGTTCAACTAGAAAGACCCTCTTAATACATTTTGTAATGAGAAAATGTACGTAAATGAAATAGGAGTTCGAAAGCTATTGGTATATCTACATCAGACACATTAGAAAACATTTGAAATACTTCGTACCATATAAAATGACATCACAGTGGGACATCAATTTTCATTTTGACAATTGATAAGAGCACAATTTAAGCTGCTCAAAGAAAGTCTGTTTTTAATTATTTAATTGAAAAGGGGTAAGGGTTACAGTAAATGTAAGAATTAAAGGTAATAATTATATTTCTTTGAAACTTTTTTGAGATCTACAGTGAGAAAACTGACTTGTATTAGAATAGAGATATTTGATTTTATTACAGGAAGTCCATTTATACAAGAAATAGGAGAAGGAGCTCTACCATCAGCTCATGGTGATGGTTTATATCGAGGTGAAGAAGATAGAGTAGCAGCATTTACCATAGATTCTAGAGGTTTACATGGTGAACCTACCATTAAAGTTGATGGTAAGTTGTCATAAATATCATTGAAATTATCTTGCATGATGGTATTATATTCCTGGAGTAGACCTTTGAAGAAAATACTGAGACTTGAAAGCTGAAAAATGTGTATTTACCCTAAAGTATTTGAATATTTTAAGTTTTGATATAATAAACCATATTTTTCAGGTCCTAACTCTATAGCGAAAGTGAATCTTGAAAAACGTTCTGATGGTAATTATCTGGTTTCCTATACACCAGTAGAAGTTGGTACCTTTGATCTTTATGTTAAATGGAATGGACGAGATATTCATGGTAAGAGATAGGCTATAGATATTTCTGTTTTTTGTGTGATAGTCACTATTTATTGAACAGGAATTTTTTTATATCAGTATGAGACAAACATAGCAAACGTGTTATTGATGCACTTTCACATTATATGTTTTTGTTTTTAAATTGATAGAAAACTTGACTGAAATCCATAACAAATGTAATAAACCTACAACTTCACATATAATAACACAGTATATCAATTTATTCTACAGGAAGTCCTTTCCATCCTAAAATTGTTGATGCCCGTAAAGTTCAAGTTGTGGGAGGATGGCAACATTATATGGATCCTCAAGAACGTGTTCAACTTCATGTTGGAGAAGAAAAGAAACTACCATTTGATACTTCAGAAGCTGGTCCAGGTATGCTCCTTCTTTAAAACTTTCAATGCTAAATCAGTAACCTTAAATTCTGTAGAAAAAAAGATGAGGTTGCCCATTTAAATAAATGATCCATCCAAATTATCTGGTCAATATTGATGAAAACTTGTAGTTAATAGTTACTTCCAAGCTATAGTTACTTCCAAGCTATAGTTACTTCCCTTGACACATCAAGGGAGATAATTTGTTCTACAATAAAATGTTGTATTTTTGTTACAGGAAGATTAACAGCAGAAGTAAAAGGACCCAGTAGTCATGTGCATGCTGTAGTTGATGATCATGAACCTGGTAGAAGTGTTGTCAGGTTTACACCAAGAGAAGAAGGTTAGGATACCATGACTTAATAAAATGTTATGATTACCAATCTTAAATCATACAGAAAGGATATTTTTTTTTATAAAAACATATATATTATATACTACAATATCTTCAATTCATACACTATTGAGAAATTTTATTCATCACTATTATAGATATTAATATTTGATAATGATTTTGAAAAAAAGCATTAATGCTTTCAGTAATAAACTTAGTAATAAGTAAATCTGCTGGACTCCTGTTTCACCATTAAAAACTTGTCAATCTTTACAGGCAAACATTACATTCATCTGTATTGGTCAGAACATCCTCTAAATAACTCTCCCTTCCTGGGTCATGCTACTGGTGGTTCTCCTGATCCATCTAAAGTTATTTTAACTGGACGTGGATTAAAGGAAGCTATTATTAGAGAGGAGGCTGAATTTATGATTGATGGATCTCATGCTGGACCAGGTTAGTACTGTTCTTTGACTACTATCTAATTAACTTTTGAGGTTAGGTCTATGGTAAGTAGCATCCACTTTCCTACATGTGTAAGCTTTCGAGAGGAAATGTCTGTAAATTAATCTAATCTACTAGATGATGACTAATCTAATTTTCGTTGTCTATGTATGTAATATTTGTCAAAAAAAATCTTATAATTAATTATTATAATGATATTATCTGTGTTTTTACAGGAAATCCTGAAGTTCAGTTAACTGGTGTACGATCAGAAGTTAATGTTATAGTGACACCATTAGGTGGTGGTAAATTTAGATGTACTTATATACCATTGATAGCTGGTGCCTACTTACTACATATTACCTGGAATGGACGTCAACTACGAGGTTCACCATATAAAGTCAATGTTATTGGAGCATTCTATCCTAATAGGGTAGAAGTATCTGGTGAAGGATTGAAAGGTGGTATGATGGGAGATGATATTGATGTTAGAATTGATACAAGAAAAGCTGGACCAGGTATTTATTTTACCCGTACAGCATGTATAGTATGTTCTGAATGCACACAGTGCAAACTCCACATAAAAGACAATGCCTGTACTTGAGGTTTTGGTTCGAAGACGCTGAAATGATTAGATAAATCTTTAGGATCTTCATCTGTGTCAAGAGTTGAAAATGATAATTTTGTTTATTTATACATGACTAAGTGGTATAAAGATAGCTAAATGAGCTTAAGATATTGCCTATAAAACTTTGTAATGTTTCTGCTGTAGGTGAATTGACGGCTTTCTGTATGGGACCAACTCATGCTGCTTTCTGTGAATTACAAGACAATCATGATGGAAGATATAACTTACGTATCAAACCACAAGAGACTGGACGTCATGTTCTCCAAATCAAATATGGTGGTGAACATGTTTTAGGTTTGTATTTTTTTATTTTTCTAAATATTTGTATTTAAAGTTTCATTTCATATTTTGATTTAAATATTATTTGTAGCATTTCATATTTTACATTCTTAGAATTGGTAAGTTAATTTCTTTACATGAAGTAACAATGTCCATAACTCATTTAACCTTCTAACAGTGATTCAACCAGCAAGTTTATACCTAAAATAGATATTGTTACAAAAACTATACACAAAACTTCATATAACACACTTATAACCTATAAACCAGTATGGCAAAATTAAAAAAAAAACCTTTATATCTTCCATCAAATATAATGCCAACTGGTTATAGAGTTATCCAAAAGTATTTTCTTGAATTCTCTTCTTTTCTTCACTTTCTGAACCTTTTTTGCACACAATCATAATTTCTGGATATAAACATTATATAAGAACCAGTATAACAACCAGTTGATATATTACAGGAAGTCCTTATGCATTCCGTATCTCAGCTCAACCAGATGCTAGTAAAGTCAGAGTTAGTGGACCTGGTGTTGAACATGGTATACTGGCCACGTTTCAGAGTCGTTTTATTGTAGAAACTAGAGGTGCTGGTCAAGGTCAACTCACTGTGAGAATCAGAGGTCCAAAAGGTTAGTTTATATTTTATGTTAAGACTACAGTTTAATATTTATATTTCACTTATGATTGCCAAATTAGAGCAAATTTTATGTATTTTCTTTTAAGATCAGAGAATTCGGTATGTTTGTTTGTATGAAGTCTAACATATATGTGACATCCAATATCTGATTACTATTGTATTAAATTTTTTAAAGAACGATTTCATATTGATAGTTAAGTACATGTCATTGTCTGTTACAGGAGCTTTCCAAGTTGAGATGTACAGGGACAGTCAGAAAGACCGGACTATTTTGTGTCGATATGATCCTAGTGAAGTAGGGTTGTATGTTATTTCCATAAGATGGTCCGGCATGGATGTTCCAGGTTCCCCATTTCATGTTCATATTGTGGACACTCAACATGATCTAGAACAGGCCTTACATGAACAACCCTATTCTAGTAGTACCATAATGAGTCGACATAGCGGTAACTACTCACAATGGAGAGATGAAATTTAGATTATTATAGCCGTATTTAATGTAATAAGCATTTAATTCAATTTTCTTAACAAAGGGGTGTAATTCACAAAGGGTGCTCAAGGTTTAACTGCTTATTATGTTTAATATGGTACTTTCATTTGATCATCTTAACAGTGCTGAAACATATAACCATTTTGTGTTCTAATACGTAATTTGACAAATTGAACACAAACATATCAATCTGTATATTTATGTTAAAGAATCTGATATCAAAATGTTGGTAAATTAGGGCTCTCTTTATCTGCATTTATTGAGATTTTTGAACAAAATTTATTGAAAGTTTTGCCATATTATTTAATTTTTATTTTTGTTTGTTTAAATTCTGTTTATCTTAATCTGTAACTGAGGTTTTTCACAAAGGAACCTTACTTTGTTAAACTTTGATTAAAAACTGATTGATTGAATTTAAACTTTCATTTTGTCCTAAAGGTGACTAATAATCATCTGTAAAAGTAAAAAAATTATCACCTAATAAATTGTGTTTTCTTCCCTTTTGTATTGATTATATATGTTGATAGACATAATATTAATATTATGTATTGTATTTGTATGTATATAAATATATGTATTGTGATAAGAATATTTTGATAGACAAGAAATTAGTCAATATTATTTCTTACTAATTCTATTGGTTGTGGTTAATGGTTTTTATTTTTGTTTCTTTATTTGTTATTTTACCAATTATTGTTTTACTGCTCTGCATTGCACTTTTTTTTTTACATTATTTTCTTGAAAGATCTGATCTTAATTAATTTTAAGCTCACTATGAGAATCTGAGCCATTTTTAAATTATTTCAATCTAAGCTAATTGGATTTGGTTGAAGAGAAGGTGATGTGAGCTATTGTTTTATATTTATAATATTTTATCCCACCTAAGATAAAAGAGAATTGGTGCTATCATTGACATCATAACAATCAAATTATTACCAGCTAAATTTATTTATTTATTTCTTAACAACGAATATTATCAGCTTGATGAATTTATTTCTGGTCCAGTCAAAAAATAGTTGCGAAAATTTTTGAAAAAAAGAACATTTTGTCTTGCCTCATTTATCTTGCAGATTGTTTTTCAAATAAATACAGGGCTGGGCAGGTTTTTCTATTGTTAGGACAGTGGTGTTTAAAAACATTTATATAAAATATTTATGTTATGGTTTTTTTATCATATCCAATAATTTCATTGACAATTGAAAATGTTCACCAGAAGATATATTAAACATCTTCCCTAGTTTGAACTAGAAATTTACTCGCCATTCCATATTTGCTTTCCAGAGAACGCACTTACCAAAAGCAATATATTATAGTAATTTATTATTAACAATACTAAATGCAATATTTGTTTGTTGTAAATCATTATTATTGTAGAGGAAATAATATAATGTCATAATAAATTTATATTTATATAGTATAATATATTATTATTTAGTTATAGTTACTTGTATACAGTCTATAGTACAGTATGCATAAGTCAACGGATGATCAATTGTTGAAAAAATTGGCAAATTACATCTCCCCTTTGTACAAGTGGGCAGTGGCCATGGAACACAAACAGCATCAAAGAAATTTGGGCTTTTGAATGTTCCTCACTGTGAAATTTGAATATAAATACTAACCTCCCCTTCTTCTATTAGGAAGGTTCTGATGGCAGGTGGATAGTAAAAAGGGATAAATTATTGCCTATTCTAAAATCCTTCTCAACACAAGTGATGAAAGTTTTCTTCACTATTTACATCTCGCATGTTCAAAATAAATTTATCAAATAATATAATAATAATGTATAATCTACATTTATTGTTCAATGTAACAAGTATAAATCATTAATAATTTATTCAAATCATTAAAACAATAAACAATATTAATATCAAAAATATATTAGTCTCAAATGAATCTTTTATAAAAATGTATCTTGTACAAAACAATTAAAAAAAGTCTTTGTTGATTTAGCAATAGACCTAAACATTTGTAAAATGATTTTAATTTGATCCTCAATTAATTTATAAAAAAATCTTAAACAATTTACAAATTGAATCACATTTTGTATATAAATTATAGATAATAATATACAATAACAAAAGCAGTGGGTGGCTTTCAGCATATTATATACATAACAATAAAATTACTCACAAAAAATAACATGTCTAACATCTTTACGATTATATTGGTAAAAATCATTGAAATATGTACATAAAACAATATTTTTGTGGCATAAAAACATTCTGCAGTATTTAACAGATTAATCTGAACACTTGTTGGCTCCGGGTCCAATGTATTCAAAAGTCCATCATTGAATCATAGCTTAACAACACAATTTATACACAAACCTTTTCAAGTTTTGATATAAATTTAACCATATTTAACCAGAATCTATTTTCCAAAGTTATTGAAAGTAAAAGTTTGTAAAATATTTCTATAATAATTTTGACTTTTTACTTAATTGTAATCTCTGTATCAAAAAAAAAAATTATTGAAATCTATCATAAATACGTATGTTTATATATTTAAAAATTTGATATAATTTTTAAATTTCAAAAACCTTTCCAACTAGCCACATTGAATCCATTAAGTCATATAAATATATACTTATGTAAAGATGTATATGCATACAAAGTTTTCAATAAATATACATGTCTACAATATTTTCTAGGCAGACTGTGTAATGTAAAAAAAAAACGCCCAAAAACGAGGTAGAGTTGTCTTAGATTCATTTAATATTAAAGGATTCTAATTTGACCACAGATTCCTCTAGTATATTCTTACTATCACTAAAACTTTTATTAGGAGTTTTTAGTTGTAACTGTAATAATAATTGTTTTAAAACTTCGTATGATCTAGATAACATTATAGTTGCAGCATGTTGAGCACCTTGTGTCTTTAATAATGTTCTCGAGGTACGAATTAATTTATGGTTCTGAAGAAAAAAATACAAATCAAAATTAATACAAAGGAATGAAAGGAGTAGGATTTACAACTGGTCATCTTAAAGGGAAACTGTATGGAAATCATATCATTGCTTCAGGATAGAATTTTTTTTCCACTTGATGCAGATTTTAATAATAACATGATATTTTAAGCATTGAAATATTGAATCAATCTGTTGGCTTCAATAATCCTATCAGAGATACACCATTGTCTGATAGATTATCAAAGAAACAGCTGCAGAAATGATCTTGAATTAAACATACATGTACTTGTGCAACAATAGTGATGTTTCTTGAAAATATTTTGAATGATCAAAAAACAATACACAATCAGTTATACCTACCACCATTTGTGATTTAATCATTTGTTGTACCAGTTGTTCATGTTGATTACAATCATCTCCTTCTCTTCTTAAACATGCTAGTGTATCTTTCTCTATGTTCTATACAAATATACATTAATGTTATCATTACTTAATTACTTAAACATTCTAGTGTATCTTTCTCTATGTTCTATACAAATATACATTAATGTTATCATTACTTAATTACTTAAACATTCTAGTGTATCTTTTTCTATGTTCTATAAAAATATATATTAATGTTATCATTACTTAATTACTTAAACATGCTAGTGTATCTTTTTCTATGTTCTATACAAATATACATTAATGTTATCATTACTTAATTACTTAAACATTCTAGTGTATCTTTCTCTATGTTCTATACAAATATACATTAATGTTATCATTACTTAATTACTTAAACATTCTAGTGTATCTTTCTCTATGTTCTATAAAAATATATATTAATGTTATCATTACTTAATTACTTAAACATGCTAGTGTATCTTTTTCTATGTTCTATACAAATATACATTAATGTTATCATTACTTAATTACTTAAACATGCTAGTGTATCTTTCTCTATGTTCTATACAAATATACATTAATGTTATCATTACTTAATTACTTAAACATTCTAGTGTATCTTTCTCTATGTTCTATACAAATATACATTAATGTTATCATTACTTAATTACTTAAACATTCTAGTGTATCTTTTTCTATGTTCTATACAAATATACATTAATGTTATCATTACTTAATTACTTAAACATTCTAGTGTATCTTTCTCTATGTTCTATACAAATATACATTAATGTTATCATTACTTAATTACTTAAACATTCTAGTGTATCTTTCTCTATGTTCTATACAAATATACATTAATGTTATCATTACTTAATTACTTAAACATTCTAGTGTATCTTTTTCTATGTTCTATAAAAATATATATTAATGTTATCATTACTTAATTACTTAAACATGCTAGTGTATCTTTCTCTATGTTCTATAAAAATATATATTAATGTTATCATTACTTAATTACTTAAACATGCTAGTGTATCTTTCTCTATGTTCTATACAAATATACATTAATGTTATCATTACTTAATTACTTAAACATTCTAGTGTATCTTTCTCTCTGTTCTATACAAATATACATTAATGTTATCATTACTTAATTACTTAAACATTCTAGTGTATCTTTCTCTATGTTCTATACAAATATACATTAATGTTATCATTACTTAATTACTTAAACATGCTAGTGTATCTTTCTCTATGTTCAATTTACAAAATATACATCATTTATTAAATGTTATCATCATGGAAATTCAGAACAATAATTCGTAACATACTATACATTAGGTCAAAGCCATGAGTGACAAATATAGTCTAATGCAAGACAATTGATCAATTTAAAACATTTCACCTTTCTGTAATCAAATCATTAAGATCACAGAAAATAATTAGTTTTTTATTCTGTTAATTAATTTCATCTTACACCTCATCAGTCCCTCCTACACAAACATTCGGTTACTAATAAATAAACAAAGGTACAAAATAAAATACGTTTACCTCTTCAACAGTCATCAATATTCTAGGACAGGTATCATCTAGTTTATATCTACTACAGATATTGATACATTCATATATTAACTGTCGTATATACAAATGGGCACTGATTATTGACTGAAAATATACACATATTTACAATCATACTATATATTCTATGGTATCAATTTATTTGATATCAATGTTACATAATTTGGCTATCTTCAGTGGCATGTGAGCAAGGCACAGGTACTTCTTACAAGGGACAATCTTCCTAAAATGATGCTAGTCAGTTATTTCACAAATTTAAACCTAACTATGTATTTCAGCTTCTGACTTTAGAACAAATAGGATTGCATTAAAAACCATTTTAACCTACATCTTTATTCATTATTCTCTGTATAACTTCTAGTATTTCTGGTGGTGACGTATCACTTAACTGTCTTTTTAATAATCTAAATGTAGACATATTCTCTAGATAGAAATCACACTTACTCTGAAAAAACAAAGATAGAAATCACATTTACTCTTGATAAAAATCACATTTACTCTGAAATAACAAAAAAGAAACCACATTCACTCTGAAATAACAAAGATAGAAATCACATTTACTCTGAAATATCAACGATAGAAATCACGTTTTCTCTAAAATAACAAAGATAGAGATCACATTTACTCTAAAATAACAAAGATACAAATCACATTTACTCTAAAATAACAAAGATAAATCACATTTACTCTAAAATAACAATTAGAAATCACATTAACTCTGAAATAACAAAGATAGAAACCACATTTACCCTGAAATATCAAGATAGAAATCACATTTACCCTGAAATAACAAAGATAGAAATCACATTTACTCTAAAATAACAAAGATAGAAATTACATTTACTCTGAAATAACAAAGAAAGAAATCACATTTACCCTGAAATATCAAAGATAAAGCCACATTTACTCTGAAATAACAAAGATTTCGCAGTATGCAATCTAGAAGTAAAAGCTTGAATATATAAGAATTCCTACATTTTCCTACAAACGCTTTAAAATATTGCAACTGAGGACAATCTCATTAGTAGAGATTGAAGATGGGTGCAGTTTCTGTTAATAGGAAAAAAATAACAACACACATTGAAATTAATTCTAAAGTTCCTGTCATAAAAGTTTCAATATCTGCAAGTATAAGAAGTATTATTTAAATTGTAGTGGCCCTGTACACAAACAATAGAAAATACAGTATTTACCTTAATATAGTATTTTAGAATAGTCGATTGTGTATTAGATGTTGGTTTTAAAGATTTTAAACTCTGTACAATTAAAACATGTTGAGCTAAATAATCAGCTAAATCTTCCTGTCAAAAAATATAATAATAAATAATCATAATTTAATAAATATATCAGTACAAACATTAACATCTCAGATAATCATATAACATGTACTCACTGATTACTGTAATTTGTCAATTCAGTACTTAATATGTAATATTTCAATTGAGTCATCTCTGTTTTACAAAAATTAACAAATCTGATAACAAAAAGTTTTAAAATAACACATCATTTAAATTAGGTTTTTATAGTGTTCAGGTAATGACATTCACCTGGCACATCTTATACACAAAATAGAAATGAGTTTACCTGTGCTTTAGCTAAGATTTTCATATTGCTTCCACCTTTATTATCATTACTTCTACTGTTATTTTCTAGTGATGTTATAATAGTCTGATACTAAAACATAAACACAAATATCTGTTGGACTTTAAAAGTAAGAGGGCTCATGTTGACCTATGGACATTCATTAGTAACAGGGTTCATGTTGACCTATGGACCTTCAGTTCTTCAGTTCTGATCTTTGAATCATTATTCAAAAAAAGTTCATATTTGAGCAATATTGAAATTGCAAGTTTGATAAAGAGATCATCAGAGTGAGCATGGTTCAGGTTTGACCACCAGATCATCAGACTGAAAATGGTTCATGTTTGACCACCATTTATCAGAGTGAACATGGTTCAGGTTTGACCCCCAGATCATCAGAGTTAACATGGTTCAGGTTTGACCAACAGATCAAAGGCAACACGTATCATGTTTGATGTAGTAAATAGTTTATGTTTGATCTTTATCAACATTATCAAAGCTTTACCTCTGGTAGATGTTTATCGATTTTTTCTTCAGCAGCTACAAATCTTTCATGATACAGGCTAATTTTAGACATAAAATCATTAGTGGGTTTAACTTCTTTTTCATACTCTAAAACTTGTTTTTCAACCAAAAATCCATGACAATTTAAACATATCCTTAAACTTAAACTGATCTCTGGTTCAACTTCTGGACACTGAAAAGAAATGTATCTCATAGAGTTATCTGATTCAAACAGGACAATGGTATTAATACCTTACCCCAACTATAATAATAACAGCTAACAATGGTAGTATAACTTACCACAACTATAACAATAACAACTAACAATGGTAGTAATAACTTACCACAACTATAACAATAACAGCTAACAATGGTAGTAATAACTTACCCCAACTATTTTTATAACAGCTAACAATGGTAGTATAACTTACCACAACTATAATAATAACAGCTAACAATGGTAGTATAACTTACCACAACTATAACAATAACAGCTAACAATGGTAGTATAACTTACTACAACTATAATAATAACAGCTAACAATGGTAGTATAACTTACCATAACTATAACAATAACAGCTAACAATGGTAGTATAACTTACCCCAACTATAATAATAACAGCTAACAATGGTAGTAATAACTTACCCCAACTATAATAATAACAGCTAACAATGGTAGTAATAACTTACCCCAACTATTTTTATAACAGCTAACAATGGTAGTAATAACTTACCCCAACTATAATAATAACAGCTAACAATGGTAGTAATAACTTACCCCAACTATTTTATAACAGCTAACAATGGTAGTAATAACTTACCCCAACTATTTTTATAACAGCTAACAATGGTAGTAATAACTTACCCCAACTATAATAATAACAGCTAACAATGGTAGTAATAACTTACCCCAACTATTTTTATAACAGCTAACAATGGCTCAGTATTATGACTATCAATCTGGTCATCTGGGATGTAAACCAATAAATCTTTAAGTGAGCAGTTTTTACAAACAGCTAATCCACAAACTTTACAACAATGTTTACTTCTTAATAGAGTAAACTCGACCTCAGCAGTCTACCACATTTACTAGATAGATTCTCTTGCTGTAACATTGAATAAGAGTACAATTAATTACTTGTTTTTTTTTATATTTGTAGTATCAAATAGCATTTCGATTGATTTTGCCACGTCTATAATATCAAAGGTCTGCACATCTTTATTGTTCAAATAGATGCATCTTGGTCAATGATCACTCCTTGCTGCCCAGATAGTACTTTGATTTTGAAGTTAAAAAGCTTATATGAATTGAACAATTATCAATATTCACTCTAATAAGAAGATAAACAGATTTATTAATACTTAATACTTACAATCCAAATAGAAGACTTCTGCCATTCAGGTGTTGCTACTACACTTCTCATTTCTTGTAAAGTTCTGGAAACTTCTGATTTGCCAATACTATTCTTAAACCCTTTCTTTAATCGCTGGCATTCTTTATCTAATCTTAACTTATCTCTTCTGGAAGATGTTTGGCTACCACGGCTTAAAGATTGTCTATTGAACTCTGCTGTCATACGTAATGTTTTAAATTCAGCTGTCCAACTTCTCTGTATACCTACTGTTACTCTTCCTTCTTCAAAACATTTTAAACAAACCTATAAAATATTTAATATATTAGATATACTAAAAAATACTTTTTTTTGGTCTACTTATCAGGCTATATTCACATATACAGTATATATATACAGTATATTTTCAACAGTCTATAATGAAGGATAGGAAGGCCATTTTTTGACCAATCATACCTTCTCAGAATCATGAATTTTTTTTAGCTAAGCCAATCATTAATAGTGTTTACAGCTCACCGTCAAAATTTGAGCCTCTAAATGCAAGTGTGTCCAGAATTATCTGCGTTTGAAATTTTAAAAGACGAGTCGTCTTTTCTTGAGACACTGTCATATATAGAAAGACATCTATGGAAATTGGAAAAGAAATTTCTAGATTGAGATATCTTTGAAGGAATTATGTGATTTTTGTACATTTCTAGTACTTCTGAAGACTATTTTGATATAATCATGACTCAAATCAACCCCCAAAATGGGGGTAAATACATATATAGGAGATGTGCTAACAGAATCTGCTTTATGCTGTATTTGATGTCATTCCTCATCAATTCCTTGTTACTATTTCTTCAACAGAAGTAATTATGTTAAAATAAATATTTTTACCTTGTATGGTTTACCATCAGGATCAGGATGTGCTAGTTTATTTAATTTTCTCTGATGTTTGACACAATTGGCACAAAAAACTTCACCACATCTTTAATATATAACAATATTTCTCATAAAAACTCTGATAACAATAGTCTATGACATCCTACCTACACTAACTAGTCTTGCCATATTTAAATTTTATGTCTGGTTATTTGGATGGGATAACAAACTGAGTATGTAAAATGATTTCACAGTTCAAGGTGGCGAGAAAAATTCCTGATTTTTTTTCTTTACCTGCGACAATGATGTGGTCTTTCAATCAATGAGAAAGCTTTCCTACATGATCTAGTCACACACAATGTCCTGGATTCTATTCCTATCCAATGTTTTTTGGTAATATCTGTAAATATATCAATACTGAGAGTAAAAATTCCTTTATCAACCACCCTTTCTTTGACTCAATATCATCTGCCCAACTTCATATCCCCACCCTATATAACCCTAACTTGACACTATACCATATAACCTTTACTTGACAATATACCATACAACCGTAACTTGACACTATACCATATAACCTTAACTTGACAATATACCATACAACCCTAGCTTGAGACTATATCATACAATCCTAACTTGACACTATATCATATAACCTTAACTTGACGCTATATCATACAATCCTACCTTGACACTATATCTAACAACCATATCTTGACACTATAATACAACCCTAACTTGACACTATATAAAACAACACTAACTTGACACTATATCATACAACCCTAACTTGACACTATATCATACAACCCTAACTTAACAATATACCATACAACCCTAACTTGACACTATATCATACAACCCTAACTTGACACTATATCATACAACCCTAACTTGACAATATACCATAAAACCCTAACTTGACAATATACCATACAACCCTAACTTGACACTATATCTAACAACCTGACTTGACACTATATCAAACAACACTAACTTGACGCTATATCAAACAACACTAACTTGACACTATATCATACAACCCTAACTTGGCACTATATCTAACAACCCTAACTTGACACTAT